AGAGAGAGAGAGAGAGAGAGAGAGAGAGAGAGAGAGAGAGAGAGAGAGCTGATACTCTGCTCACCTCCCTTCCCCCAGCCAGGCTCAAGGACACACCAGCTGCAGGAGACAGCAGCCTTCCTCACTTTCTCCATTCTCTGGACAGATGGAGGGCCCTGAGGACTGGGGGGTGCCAGGCCAAGGAAGAAGACAGCCTTGTTTTCCCAGGCCTGTTCAGGAGGGCTCTGCTTCCAGGGCTCTCTGATCTGTACAGCTTTTGAAGCATGTAGTTTAGAAATGAAGGTCGCCTCCTTCAGCTAACAACTGGGGCAGAGGCTGAGCAGCCTGAGACCAGCTGCCTTCTTGGTGTTGAGCCCAGGCTCCCCAGGGCTGGCTGATAGCTGGTCTGGCCTGGGGATAGAGGGAACAGACTGTTGCTTCCCATGAGAGCAGCTCCTGAGTAAGCATAGCCAGGCAGGCCTGGTTGGCTTAAAAAGACTCCTGTCCCTGAGGAACACAGCATGGAACACAGCACCTGTGTTATTGACCCTTGAATCCTTCCACTGAGTAGAGACAGCACCTTCTTTGTACTAGTGACAAGAAATGGTTTGCCTGTCCTGGACTTGTAGTCACCAAAACAAATGTCCCTTGGCGTAGGTCCTTGGACATCCGAACACTCGTGGGACTCATTCTACAGTAAGACCCTGGCTCTTGATTGGTCCACCCAAGCAGGGCCACACCAGCAGAACAAAACACAGATCTTCCTTGCTGTATGAAAATCCACCCCGGTTGTGTAGCTGTCCTTCCTGCACCTAGGCAGGGAGTATGTTGTGGACAAGAACCACAGTTTACAGGGTCCCAAGCATCTGTACATATGTACAGAGAACATTAGGAGATGCAGTCATGACTGCCCAGACCCACACAGAGGCAGCATGGCATCCTTAGCACAGCACCTGGCACCCACTGGTACCATGGCATCTTTAGCATGGCATCCTTAGCATGACATCCAATGCTTACAGACATCATGGCATCCTTAACACAGCACCCAATATTCACAGACATTATGACATCTCTAGCATAGCACCTTATGTCCACAGTTATCATGGCATCCTAAGCATAGCACCTGGCACCCACCATGTGTTTTAGAAATTCTGTACCCAGAACTAAGGGGTGAATGAGGCCCGTGGAGTCCCTTTTCTCAGTCCCATTTTTTAAAAACTTATTTATTCACTTTACATCCAGATTGTAGCCCCCCCTCTTCTCCTCCCAGTATCCCCCCACACCCCTCCCTCTATTCTCCTTTTTTCTTCTCCTCAGAGAAGTGGGAAGTCCCCCATGGGTACCAACCCAGCCTGGCACATTAAAATGCTGTGGAACTAGGTACATCCTCTCCTAATGATGCCAGACAAGGCAGTTAAGTTAGGGAATCCAAAGGGAGGCATCAGAGGCAGAGAGTGCTCCCTCCTGCTCCAGTTGTTGGGGGAACCACATGAAGACCACGCTGCACATCTGCTATATATGGGCAGGGGGCCCTAGGACCAGTCCATGCATGCTCTTTGGTTGGTGGTTCAGTCTCTGCGAGCTCCCATGGGTCTGGGTCTTATCTCTCTGTGTGGGAACAGGTCGGTGCCACATGACCCTGGGGAAGGTAGAACTGAGGGTCACCATGGGTCTTGGTGGGACAGACTTCAGGTCAGGGGTGGCAGGGATGAGGGCAGGATAGTGCCCATCTTCTCACCCTGGTGACAGTCACCTCAGCCCTTCTGCCTGTCTCTTCTGCTGATAGTGAGTCAGGTTCTGTCCTCTACCCTCCCCTACATAGCTGAGCACTGAGCAACAGGAGGGATCACATCACCTCAGAGTAGCTGGAGCCCATGGCACAAAGAGAGCTGAGAGGGGTCATCTCTGCCTGCTCTCTGGGCCTGCCTCAGATATTCCGCTGGCATGACCAGTGAGGAACTTTGCTCTGTATACCACACTGGTCTGCAGTGCACGCCAGGAACAGCAGGCCCATATCTTGGTATTTTGCCACTTTACAGAGAAGGGAGCATTTTCAAAGTGTGAACTTCAGGCAGGCATCATCCAGGGTCAGTAGAACACAGTAGCCACTTGGCCTCACACTGCTAGAAGAACAGGCCCTGTCTTACAGGCATCAGTCAGGCATAAGGGAGCTACCTTCTCTGCCTGTAGCAGTGTTGAGGTACGTGATGACTTAGGACTCGACAGCCAGTGCTGTGAGGTGATCCCATCCCTGTGGTCTCGGAAACTTGTGGTCCTAGGGGTTGAGCAACCCCTCTGGAGTTGGCACCTGTCAGTGTTGTCCCAAGCTGAGATTCTGAGGAAGTGAGAGATACAGGAGAGGCAGAGCTTGGTATTGAAGGGTCCACAGCACAGGACCCACAGAGGGGATGGCAGCAATGGAGGGATTAAGCTTCATGCCATCCCTCCTCTCTCCCTTCTAGATGCACAGCTCTGTTTGCAGCCAGCCTTGCCCGGGCACCCTGCCCTGTGCCTTACAGGTTTGTGCCTCCTGCTGCCCTATGTGGCACGTCTGGTTCTGGTGTCTGCCTGTCCCTGCTGGTGTCATGCTGAGTGTAGGAGGAGCTCAGGAGGGGAGGCCTCCTCCAGGTCCAGCTTGGTTCTTTGGCTTGGAGGCTTCAACACTTTCCTGCTTCACAGTGGCAGAAGGCAGAGTCCTAGGCCAAGGCCAGCCAGGCTGGCTCCTCCTGAGGCCTCTGTGCTTGAATTTGGTGGCAGCATCTTTTTGTTTTTCTCACAAGCCTGAGTGTGTGTGTGTGTATGTGTGTGTGTGTTTATGTTCTGAACTCTTTATGATGACCCTAAGTGATTGGCTTAGATCCACCCAGCCACCCATTTCACCTTTATAACCTCTGTGAAGACAGGACTCCCATCTCCACAGGCTCACACTCTGAGGTCCTGGGGTAGGGTTTCAACATAAGAAATTTGAGGAAACCAACTTGGCCCTTAACTGATGTCAACTGCCTCAGGAGCAGGAAGACTTCAGACTTCAGAGGCAAGGAAGAGCCTCCTGAGGAAAATGGGGCAGGAGTGGTGGTGGGGCGGGTCAATGAAGATGCACAGTGGAGGACTTAAGGCTAAGGGAGCAGGGGTCAGAGCTCTCGCCTTCTAAGAGACAGCTACAGCTGGCAGAAATATGTTCCTCTTAGATGAGGTGAATAGGAGGCATGGGAGACTGGGCCTAGGGCGGGGCACCAGACCAGGAGAAGGGGTGTGGAGTGGCCAGGTACCTTCCCCACCTGTGAGGATGGAAGCCAGGTATGGGGAGTGCGTCTGTGTGTGTGAGGGGAAGGAGGAGCTGGAGCTAGTGATGCAGAGGCTTGAGGGGGCTGTCTAAGGAGGGGTGGAACACCGTCAGCAGCAGAGCCTGGGAGGGTGCTGGACGTGCAGTGAGTGACATCACACATGACTTGGTACCGACAGAGCTGAGCCTTGGTAAGTGAGGAAGGAGCAGCTGAGAAGGGCCAGGGTCAGGTCAGGGGAGAGAAGGGTATGACTGCAGGGTGTGGCTGGAGGACTGAAGCCCATCCATGGAGAGGAATAGAGCACCCGTGAGTAACAGGGTCCCTGTGCCATGGAGATCAAGAGGTTGCTAGACAGGCCCACTCGCCTCCATTTTCAGAGACAGGATCACCTCACCCCAGCATCCCTTGGGATGTCCTGAGCTTTCAGCGAGCGTCAGGTTGTGGACACCTCACTTCATCCATGGCCTGCTGTGTTTATTGTAGCGTCAGTTGTCTACCCAAGCCTCTATGTTTGTTCTGATACTTCCCTCAACCCACAAAAAGGGACACATTACTTGCTGAGCTCACTGGCATTCCTGCCTGCACTCTGAAGATGCCTCCAGAAGGTTCCCGACAGTGACATTTCAGGTCAACCTGTACAACTCTGTTCTAGGAAACCAGGACTTCCTCGGAGAGCATTGTCTCTGTGCCGGCCTCCAGCACGTCCGGGTCCCCAAGCCGTGTGATCTACGTAAGTGAGGGCCATGGAGAGTGCTGTGGGGTAGTGGTGGGGTCAGCACTGGGCCAGTGCTGTGGGGGCTGCAGAGGCTGCTGAGGATCATCACTCAGCACTGCGCTGGGGAAGAAATGGGTGCAGAGTCCGAGAGTGACTCTAAACCTGAGCCCTGGACATATCCGTGTGGCCCAGTAAGGCCCCTGGGAACTTATCCCCAACTGGCTGTTGGTGAGAGGGAGAGCCTCATGTAGAGATCTGGTCATAACATTGCAGGAGGGGCATGGCTGGCCTGCACTTAGAGCAAGACAAGGCCATGGGAGGGAAGGAAGCTATGGGGCTCAGCCACTGTGCAGATCCATACTTGTGAACACAGGTTTCTGCTCAACTCTCCAAAAGAAGTGCCCTGGAGATGCGCATGTGTGTGCCTGTGTGCATGCATGTTCTCGTACTTGTGCGTGCGAGTGTGTGTGTGTGTGTGTCTGTATGTACACACATGAGAGCATCTACATAAGTATAAAAAAGATTGGACCCATTAAGGAGTTGTTAGAACAGTTGCCTCCTAGGCCAGCTTAGAGACAGGAGGGTATTGGTGTTACAGCACTATGTGTAAGTGATGAGGTTTGTCATTGAAAGTCCCAGGGCATAGCATGAAGGGTAGCCTGCTGGGAAGCTCCAGGACTTGGGGTGGAGGGATGGCAGGGGACAGGGGCAACTCACTTTTGCCATCCTCTCCTGGCTATATTGGCCAGGCCTTGGATCTTTGGTAGCATGGTAGGGAAATGAGGTTCACTCTCCCTCACTTGTCTTTTCAGCCCACATCTTCCCATAATGGTTGGCAGAGGGTCACCCTGGTGGTTGGTAATAGCAAGTGTCTTTCCTGAGGTCACAGGGGCCACAGTTTAGAGGGAAAAGGTACCAGGGCTCTCTGAGGATACTTGTGCTAAGTCTCAGCCTGTGCCTGTGTGGTCTGAGGTTTTTCTGTGTACCCTAGGCAAGGCATTTCCCTCTATGAGCCTCTGATATATCCTCCGTAAGCTGGGGAGAATCCAACCCCACTGTCCAGGGCTCCCTGAGGCTTGGCATGGGAAACTCCCTGTACAGCTCCAGATCCAGAAAAGGGACTGAGAACATGCCAACTCCCAGTGTCATTGGGTCCACATGCAAGATCAGAGACTGGGGCCTGAACAGAAAGATCTATGTTCTCGCAGCTCTGGAGCCTAGAAACCAAGGCCCAGTCTGGTTCCTCCTGAGGCCTCTCTCCTTGGTTTGTAGACAGTATCTTCTGTCTGTGTCCTCATAGAGTATGTCTGTGTTTTCCTCGCTCATCTCATATTAGAGGCAAGCATCAAGTAGCAGCAGTTCTAGAATAATCCATTTACCTAACTGCCTTATAATCATGCATTTAACTGCCTTTTTTCTTCCTTTCTGTTCCTGTCTCCCTGCTTTCCTTTTCTCTTTGAGACAGGGTCCCATGTAGCTCATGTTCCCCTCAAACTCCCTGTTTAACCAAGCATAATCTTGAATGTGTGGTTGTCCTGCTTTCACCGCCTGAGTACTGGGATTAGTGTGTGCCACTGTGGCTGGCAAATGCAGTTGCCAGGGATGGAATCCAGGTCTTTGTACATGCTCAGCAAGCCCCTACCAACTAAGCCACACTCTAGCCCCAGCTTGTTGTTTACACAAAATAACAGTACTCAGCAGGAAGGGGAATGAACATGATCCCCCTCATTACCCGTCCAGTGAGCTCTGCAGCTAGGTTGCAGCGACCTGTGGTTGCTTTTCTCCCAGTAAGTGTGACTTATTGTTCAGCAACAGGAAACCATGGCAAATAGTATTTTGGTACCTCTTTCTGGTGGTGCCCATGGGCATGAGGCAAAAACACAGTCACCACACCGTATGTTACCCTTGGCTGGAGCATATACACTTGTAGTGTTGTGTACGGTCATCTTAAATTTGCTTCACAGAGAGTGATGAAAAAAGGAAAAAGGAAAACCGCTTACACACACGCCCACCAATAGCCTTCACCAATTACAAAGCTTAACCCGTTGTCAGGGAAACCATCCAAGGTCTTTGCACAGAGAAAGTAACTAACTCCACAAGCTACTTGACAACCATTGCTTGCAGCAGGCAGCTGCTGGACTGTTGGGACCAAGGTGTACAGGAAATAGGGGACCACCCAGGACTAGGTGGCCTCCTACCCAGCACTGTGGGCTGGGTGAAGATAGCCAGGAAGGCAGGTTAATTGGGAAGGGCACATCATTCTCGGTTTCCTGGTTACCTGGGTGTCCCACTGCAGCCTGAAGGACCCTCTGCAGAACATTTGGGTGAGATGTTTACAGCAATCCAGCAGTGCCTGAAGCACAGTTGGTAGCCCAGTACTACAGAAGACAGAGGCTGGGATGCTCACCCAAGTTCTGCAGATGCCTGGTTGCTCAGCTTTAGGCAGAGGGTGACAAAGCCAGTGGTGTCCTGGACAGGTCTAGTCCTGACCTATGGGAAAGGACATACAGTGCACAGGTCAGCCATCACCCAAGAGAGAATCTGACCTGGATGGAAGAGAGAACTCCAAGAAGAGAAATAACATGTGTAAAGCCCTCAGATGAAGGATATAAACTACAGGAGCTGGGGGCAGGAAGTGTGGAATGGAGGCAGAGGACAAGATCAGCTGGTGGCCAGGGAAAGATCCCCTGGGCTATATTCATCAAGACAGCTAGAAAATCCCAATGGGATGGTCCATGGTGATCACAAACCCTGGCTTAGGATTTGATCTTAGATCTTTTGAGTCTTGCGCGGGGTTCCAGAAAGAATAGCCAGAGGTGTGACGCACCAGACCTTCGGTCTTAGTGCACATCTGTCTGCCAGATGTGCCAATGGAGTTCTAGAGTGAGCCTAGTAGTCAGGAAGGCTTACTAGAGGAGATGGGTGAGGGCTGCTGGGCTCTGGAGAGCCTGAGGTTCTGGATAGACAGTTAGCAAAGACATGGATGACCTGAGGTGGGAGCTGCCTGAGGTGTCACCATCAGGAAAGCCACTTGATGCAGCTGCAGCTAAGGTGGGGCCTACAGAAGGATGAACCAATGCGGGGAGGGCTCTAGGGCCAGACAGTTGCCATGCCTTCCTAGGTGAGCCACCCTGGGAAAATTGCCCAGCCTCTCTGAGCTCTGGACTCCTCATCAGTGAATGGGAGTACCGAGTGCCTCCATGACAGGAAGCTGTGAGTTTCTGGGTCTGATCCAGTTCAGTATCTGCTGTGGCTTTTGCGGCGGTGTCTCAGAATCCCAGCAGGGGAGACCGAGAAAAGGCTGATGCAGAAATTAGACTTGAGCAGGGAGGGACTAACGTAGAGCTGAGCTGAGGGTTTGGAAAGAGCTGAGGAGCTCCTTGGGAGGGGATGGGAAGGAGCTACAGAGCAAATATGGGCTCAGGGGGACACTGTCCGAGGAGTCTGGGCAGAGTGAGTTAGGAGCAGCGGCAGCCAGGTGGACCTTGCCTGAGCCAACATGGTGTTTCATGGCATGGCATCCCACAGTTAGGGAATACATGTGGGCCTCATCCCAGCACCCTGACAAACGCTGAGCAGACATCTTGACGCTGTTCTGTACTTGCTCGAAACTGTCGAGGAGAGGGGAGAGAGAATGAGATGAATGTGTAGATGTGGTTGTGTGTGCTCATTTGGCGTGGGGTAGGGTAAGCTGTGCTAATGTGTGTGGGTATGTGTGTGCACACGAATGCGAAAGAGGGCACATGCACATATGTGCAGATCTGTAGAAGCCTGTCCTGGTGTGCCAGCAGATGTGCCAACATATGGGACTCTGTGGTGAATCAGTGGCTGTGTGGTACCGTGTGGAGTGGGTGTGTTACTGTTGCATCCCCTCATGACCTTAGGCAGGCACACTTGGTGTGTCTCTGGCCTGTGCAGCATACCTGTGAGTGCACGCGTGGATGTGAGTAGGGGAGCGTGTGCATGCGCATCGGTGATACTTGTTCATGCTATCTACCTGTAGCCATGTTTGGTTTTAGGTCATAGCTCGAGTCTCACGGTCAGGCTCTGCAGCACATTACCGGTATACACAGTGACTGCAGTGTCTGACTCCAGGGCTATCCCTTGGTCTTGCATCCCTGTACCACCTTCACTGGGGTCTTGGTGTGCCCAGACCCTCCTCACTGCTGCTACGGAGTGGCTCTGGCCTCACATGTGGCATCAGTGTCCCACCCTCTTTCTCTCTCTTCCATCAGGCAAAGCTTGGCGATGAGATCCTGGACTACAGGGACTTGGCTGCTCTTCCCAAAAACAAAGCAATCTATAACATTGACCGCCCCGACATGATCTCCTATTCGCCCTACATCAGCCACTCAGCCATGGGGGACAGGCAGAGCTACGGCGAGGTACGGCTCTCCACCGTGTGTTGCCTCCTCTAGAGCTTCCTCTTACCGACAGAGTTTAGTCACTGCCACCACTCCCTGCTTCTTCGCCCCCGGATAGCATGCCCATCTTTTTCAAGGCACTCCCACTCAACCGTGCCCCCTCAGGGAAGAGTCGAGTCAGAGAGGGAAGGGGAGGTACGAAGCTGGGGAAAGAGAAGCATACTCTGAAAATGTCTGCATTTTCCTGGCTACCGAGTGTTTTCATGATGCATGAAGTGTGTCATTTCCCCCTCGTTGGACCATATGGCCTTGAGCCCACTTTTCCAGGCCAGCACCTCCTCTGTGGGTTTCTTGAGCCCTTCTCTAGGCTGGCTGAACAATGTGGGTCATGATTCCCCAGTGTTCTGGAAAGCAGATGGCATCTGTCTTAGTTGGGGTTTTATTGCTGTGAAGACACAACATGAGCACAGCAACTCTTAAAAAAGAAAAACATTTAACTGGAGCTGGCTTACAGTTTCAGAGGTTTAGTCCATTATCATCGTAGTGGGATATATGGTGGTGTGCAGGTAGACATGGTGCTGGAGAAGGAGCTGAGAGTTCAACATCTTGACCTGCGTGCAGGCAGCAGGAGAGACTGTGTGCCACACTGGGCGGAGCTTAAGTATATATGACCTCAGAGCCCGCCTCCACAGTGACACACTTCCTCCAACAAGGCCACACTTCTTAATAACGCTATTCCCTATGGTCAAGCATTCAAACACGAGGCCATTCTTACACAAACCACCCCAGCATCTATGGCTGTTTAATTCAGGCTGTCTGTTTCCGTTGAACACAGCTTCTGTTGAGTCTCATTTCCTTCCATCAGGAGGGCTTAGTGTAGCTTTGGCTGTGTGTGGAGCTCAGGACAAATGCTTACCTGGAACAGAGAAATGGTCATTCCTAACCTGTGCCCCTTTGACTCCTTTTGTGGCTTCAGCAAGGCCTTGTGGGGGTGTGAGGGCCAAGACCCCGGGGATTGTATATACATAGTAATGTTGAGTTGCTCAACTTGGCCCTTTATTGGACATAGCCATCAGACAAGCCTTCGGGCTCTGAGGGCCACTTAGGGGCTGAGAAGAGCAAAGGGACTAGCAGGTGGCCCTTCTAGTGTGCACGCCTGAGGAGTGGGGGTGGGGGTAGGTGGCACCAGCCTTGTGACTACTGCACCACCCACTGTACCTGAGCTGGGTGTGGGCTTCACCATCCCACCTCTAGCCTTTAGGCAACAGGCCACTGAAGAGGGTCAGAGGTCGAGCAACTTGAGTAACCCTTTGAGGTCCAAAGCCTAGCTTTTTCTTCCCTAAAGACCATGCACTGGCTATCTCCCTGGCTGATCTTCAGGGATATGGAATTCAGGCCTCAGAGCTGAGTTCAGGTCTCACTGGACTCATCCTCAGGATGCCACCAGGGCCCTCCCTGAATGGAGCATTGGCATTCCTCAGGAAGCCATGGCAGGATAGACTGTAGTGAGCAACAGTGTTGTGCAAGACCCCTGACCATTGACAGCATCACCCTGTATCCATGGGTCACACAGTGTATGTGCTCATGTATGTATGTGGCATAGAGTGTGGACATGGGATCTAGAAGCCTCTGAGGGTTTTTTCAGCATCTGAGACCATGTCTTCGAAAGATTAGGATCCATGTGCCCCATGGATAGTCCTATTTGTCCTGCAGAGAGCAGTGGGACAGCGTGGGAGGGTATGTATGTGACTCAGGAGTCACCCTCCCTAGTATCTGCCCTGCCACAAACTTGTACCTTCTGTCTTATACTGCCCGTGAGACCTGCCTCAGCAGAGGTCAGTACCAGACTGTCCTAGGGAAGGGCTGTTTCCACTACCTTCTCCTGAGGCCCAGGATGGTAGGGAGTGAACAACACAGCATGGAAAACCTCAGGGCTCTTGTCAGGTACATTACACACAGAGTAGCCAGTGGCTTCATTGCTGTCTCACCGCCTCGTCCCTCTGGAACAGTCTCATGCACAGAGGTTTTATCTCTGTCCCTGTATCATACCCCAGCCTATGAGAATGATTTTTCTCAATTGTACCTAAAACAGCCAAGGCCAAATGAGGCCCAGCTAGGGCTCACATGGGCCCAGGTAAGCTGGCTCTGGCTCTTACTCTCTGGGTCCCCTGAATGAGATGCAATCCTTCCAACAGAGAGGAGTCTTTGGCTAGAAATGCAAGAACTGGAGCCACCTCTCTGAGCTTTTGTCTCCCTGCCACTCTCTCTCTGCTGAGCCCCACCCAGTCTGTCCTCTCCAGAGAAAACAAAGGGGATGAGCCCAGCGGGTATTGCCGCAATGGTCCATGAGCAGCCAACAGCTTTCTCTTTTGAACTCGTGGTCTCTGTGGAGAGTGTGGATGTGATCAGGTGGGCTGAGTGAAGGAAGGAGCTGGCTTAAGCAGCACCAAACCGTCTCTTGTGGTGGGGCTCTCCTAGATCTCTCAGAGATCCGCCTGCCTCTGCCTCCCCGAGTGCTGGGATTACAGGCGGGGCCACCGCACCTGGCACTCTTTCTGAGTTAGCCTCAGGTCCTTACATGTTGCCTGTGGTTACCAAACAGTCCTTTTACCCTGAAGCAACCCTGGCATAGTGCACTAACAGATGGCTCTGTTGTGTCCACAGTCACCTCAGTTGCTCTCACCAACGCCGACTGAGGTAACAACCACCTATGCCTGCGCCCTGTGTGCTCATGGTGCTACCGCCTGCAGGGTTATAGAGATAACCAGCATGGTACCCAGAGGGCCACAGGGCCATAGCCACATCACTGGGACCCCTTCCTGCTGGTTGTTTTTATAACTGCATCTCATCTGCATGTTCCCCCATGTGTGTGCAGACAAGTCTTCACCGACACTGGGGATGTGGTGTTGCCCAACAGATCCTAACCTGGGTCATGGCTTCTGTGTGTGAGCTGCGGTCCACTTCCTGTCCCTAACTAGATTTTACAGGAAGAAGTTCTGGATTGTAACCCTTGAGGCTGAGCACTCTTGAGAGCTGTGCTATCAAATAAGCTTCTCAACAGTAGCTCAGGGCTTCACCCTTTTTCTTAAACTCAGTACAGATTGTGGCCCTTCAGACTATAGTCTGTGTGGCAGAGCCCAGGGCTGGGGAGGATGTAGGAGCAGGGCACACTCTTGAGCCTCTCTGTGCTGTGGCAACCACTTTATACCTAATTTAATTCCTTTACCCAGAACAACACCAGAGGGAGTTTCCAGGAGTTTCACATTTACCAATGGAGAACCTGGGGCCCAGGTGTCAAGTAACTGGGGCCCGTTTGCTTCCTGCCCTCCCCATCCTTGGGAAGTGTTCCATTCCAGCCCACAGAGCTGGTCCCAGGAGTGAGGATCTCCTCATCTTCTCAGACCGGGGAATGGTTTTCACTTCTTGTAGCTTTAGAAGTAGCGTCCATGGCAGGAGCCCCTGCCTGGTCCCTCCACCACCTCCTCAGCCTGTCTTCTTAGAAATAATGCTTGGGGCACTGCTGCGGTATGCTTGGGGTTGACATGAGGCTAGGAGGGCTGGCATGACCCAGGCCACCAGGCTACCTTGCAGAGGGATGGGCAGTCTGATTTTCGAACCATAGTGCCATGCCATCTCATGCTGCTGTCGCCTGCTCTGGCTGCTCCCAGAAGCTCCTCTTCCTGCTAAGTATGAGAGGGGCTGCGTCATCAGTGCTTGTGGGTCTTGTTGGCTGGCTTCTGAGTCCCAGAGGGCACCTTCACACCCCAGAAGGTGCCACAGGGCGTCTAGAGACTCCCTCCCATGTGAGGAGTGCTTCAGCATTCTCAAGCTGTTTTCCAGGGGTCCAGGGTGCTGGGAAGGGTTAAGAGGGAGGAAAGTGGGTGGGGTGGGGAGGACGAAGGTAGGGTCCTTCCACCCCATCCCAGAAGTCCTAGCACCACAGAGGGTCAGATGGACAGAAAGGGTGGGTATCTAATGGGGACATGCATAGGCCAAAGGGCTTGTTATGACTCAGACCCACCTCGTGCAGATGTGCTCTGTTTATGCTCGGAGAGCCTGTTTTAGGGTTTTGTCGTTTCTGCCCCTGTGATCTAGAGGGCAAATACAGTGGGTGGGTGAAGGATGAGCAGTGCTCCTGACTTGGGTGCTCTCACACTGTGTTCTCACCCAGGGGGATCAGGATGATCGGTCCTACAAGCAGTGCCGAACCTCCAGTCCTAGCTCTGCTGGCTCCGTCAGCCTTGGGCACTACACCCCAACCTCACGGTCACCCCAGCACTACAGTCGTCCAGGTATTCACCCCCACCCCACTTCCCTTGACCCCTGATGAGGTTGTATTTCTCGATAAGTTTGCTGATATAAAGCAGCTTCTTTATTCATGAGAAAAGTGGCAAAGTGGTAGGGGTAGGAGAATGCCAGTGGGCAGTCAATGGTCAATGGAGAGTCTGGCCACTTAACCGTAACAAAAATGGCTGCCTCAAGCCTAGGAGCAGGCAGCCATGAGGCAGCTGGTCACCCTGGGGTTGGAGGAGCTGTCTGCATCCACAGTGCACACCCAGAGACACACACAGCCTCAAGGCCCACACAGAACCAGAGCAGGCTTCTGGGGGGGGGTAGTTATAGAGCTGTCCAGATGTAAAATAGCACACGAGGCAGGAGACCAAACCACAGCCTGTTGTGATCCCATGGGATGTGGGGAGGACTTGAGATGTGGAGTCAGAGTCAGTGGCCACAACACCCAGTCAGAATGTCTAATGCTGTACCTGCCACTCAGTAACCCTAAAGACAGCCATCCTAATAAAGAGGTTGACAAAAGGCCTCTATGCCCTTCCAGCTGGGAGAGAACCCTGTGCAGGGCCTCCCATCCTGTCGCCTCATCCCACTCCCAACCCCTCCCACCCGGCTCCCAGTTTGCATTGTGTTCCTCAGCTTTGAGCCGGCATGTGAAAGCCACTGGGACCATGCACAAAAGCATTGCCCTTTGGAGGGATTTTTCCAAGCTGCTTCCTTCCTTCCGGCTGTGCATGACCCATTTCCACATCCATGGACCATAGCTCTTACTTTTTCAAAACTTTGTGGAAAAATCAACTTAGTTGTTTGTAATCATTTTCATTGATTCCTTGCAATATGCCTGGTCCATCCTGCTAAGTAAGTGCAAAGAATGAAGGTGAGAGAGTGTGTGCATGAGAGAGTAAGTGATTGTGTCTGAATGGGTGGGATAGTGGATAAGTAAGTGAATGAGTGAAGGAATGAGAAAGAGTCAATGAGTGAGTGAATGAATGGATGAATGATCAAGTGGCTAAATGAGTGGACTAGTGGATAAGCAAGTGAGTGAGTAAGTAAGTGAATTAGTAAATTAGTGAGGGAATGAGTGAATGAGTGAATTAATGAGTGAACATGTTAGTCAACAAGTGAATGACTAAGTAAATGAATGTGTTAGTGGGTGTATAAGTGAGTGAGTGACTGATTAAGTGAATGGAGATGTGTGAGTGAGTGAAATGAGTGAATGAGAGAATGAACAGGTGAGCAGGAATGTGGAGAGCAGTGACTTTCTCAAGCCCTTCCCCCAAGGCCCCTTGTGACTTGACCCCTGACTTTGCATCTTTGGGAGGGCTTGGCTACTGATTGCCTCGTCAGGGGTAAAGCCCATAGGGTCAAGCTTTGAATCTGGACTGGCAAGTTCCATGAGGATGCTGGTGACAGAACCACTCCCTGACCTCAGGAAGCTGCCCTCCCACTGTCCTTGATCTCAAGGACACCCCAGAGTGAGCCACAGGCAGGGCCAGAGGCCATGTCCCAGGCTCTGCCACCCTGTATCTCAGAGGCATCATCTCCTGACCCCACCTGAAGGAGAATGGCCAACAGCCTGCTGGGGGACCCTCTTCAGGTGCCCCAGGAGAGCACAGGAGCAATGTCCCTGGCTAAATGGGGACTAGGGCAAGTTGGTGGCTCTGGGGTGGAGGAGCCCAGTGTTACTGACTGCTCTCTGTTGCCCGCAGCTGGTACTGTGAGTGTTGGTACCAGTAGCTGTCTGTCCCTGTCCCAACACCCAAGCCCTACATCCGTGTTCAGACATCATTACATCCCCTACTTCCGAGGTAAGGCGTGCAGCGCACAGCGGGGGGTGCTCGTCCCATGTCTCCGCATGGCTTCCAGAGCCCTGTGTCTCATGCCTGTGTTCTTCCTGTGTTGTGTGTGTCTGGCTGTATTCTCGTCAGTGTGTCCATGTTCCTGGAAGGAAAGCAGGGTGATTTGTCACTAAGAGTACAGCTGGAGGGAACATCTCAATGAGCACCTTGCTCCAGACTCATTCATAGCCTCACTGGAGTTGTTGTACACATTTCCCTGTGGTGGGGTGCTGTTAGTGTCAGCCTTCAGAAGCAGGAGCTGAGATGTGGAGAGGTGGTGATGTCCACAGCCTCAGACCCCTGGCGTCTGAGCTGAGATTCAACCCAGCTGGCCCCAACTCCTGGCTCTTTCCAGACCCAGCCGTGATTCATGTCCTATAGAAACATACACATGAATTCCAATTCTTGTGATTTACTTCATGCTAAGAACTGAGTTGTGAGTGCCCCAAGTCCCCATATTGATGGCTGAACCTCCATACAGCAGTGTTTGAAGAAACAATATTAAGGCGGTGATGGAGGGAGAGTGAGGTCACAAAGTGGGACTCTCATCCACTGGGGATGGTAGCCTTATAAGATGAAGATGAAGCCCCAAGCATTGCCCACACATTTAAGGTCAGTGAAGAGACTGTCACCAGGCCAGGATAAAATACCACTAAAACAAAACAATGAAAACAAACACAACAAAGCAGCAACAACAATACTTGGGCTCTGATCATGACTCCAGAAGTGTGAGAAATGAGAGGCTATTGATGAAGGCCCTGAGCTGTGAATTTTGTTACACAGCACAGCTGAAAAAGACACAAGAAATAACACTTAGGGATTTAGAGAACATAGCAGTGATTTTCTCAAGAGGCCCTGGGTTTATAGCTATGCAATGGGTACCCATGGAAAGCTCCTTTCCACAAGGCAGGCGCAGCCAGCAGCTCCCATCACTAACAGCCAAAAAATGGTCCAGTCTCTTCCATTTTTATTCTCACCCCTTGCCTTGCTGTTGGTCCACTGAGGAGAGCCGTTGGCACTGTCATGGCTTCTTTGGCCCTTCATGGGCTCTCCACACAACCCAGTCTCTAGAACAGGTTGAGTTTTCAGTGAGGATGCTCAGCCCCAAATGCTACAACCCCTCAGCGTGGCTTCTGCAGCCTTGAGACATCCAAATTATATGTCTGTGGGAGTCTCAGAGTGACAGGTGCTCCCAAAACCTGGAGGGAACTTGACTACTCTGGGCAGTCAGATGGGCCTTATAGTCGAATGTTTTCCCTTTGCTCAGTGGCCCTGAGCATGGTTTTTCTCCTGCCTCTGAGGCACTGCCTTTGGTGGGTCTGATATACCTCTGTGTCCCTGGTTAGCCTGTGACAAAAGATGTCCTAGACATTGGCTCTTGCTGCTACTCTTCTTAATGGAGTGAGGGAGCAGAAGCCCACAGTTCTGCCCTCCACTTGACTTCTCAGGCAGGCTGTGACCTTGGCTCTCCAGCATCTTTCCAGAACATGCCTTAAGGAGGTAGAGACTCTGAAACAAATGCCTACTTGATATTCAGAGCAAAGTCCAGGCACAGGTCCTTTCCTAGAGCCTCCTGAGGACCAACCTGTCCCTAGCCTCTGGGCACCCAGCTTATCTCTTCCCACAGGATGCAGCCACAGCTCTGCCATTTGCCCAGTCTCTAGGAAATTCACTCTTGCCCCCGTGGATTCTTTGCAGTAGTTAGGACACAATGGAGACACCTCATTGTCTGATGCTGAGTGAGGGTCTCCCAGGTAAACATGCCCTCCTGTCCCAGCACTCTTCTGACCTAGCTAGCTAGTGGCAGGGCCCCCTCACTTTCTTTGTACCTTTCCCCCAGCCCAGACATCATACCCTCCCATCGTGTCTCAGGACCTGGGACCTCACTGCTACAGTCATGTGAGGGGCTGGTTAAAGTTATTGGCAAATTAGTGTGACTTTCAGACCTTGGTTGGGGTGGTGTAAGGTTTAAGCCTGACTCTTCTTTGATAAGGGACAGGCTACAAGGAAGGGAGATGTGGGTTGATGAGGGGACTCCGTGAGGGTGAGGTCATTTTTCTAGGAGCTGACTGGAGGGTCTTCCATAACACCAGTGGCATGAGAAGAAAGGGAGACAGAGGATCTTAGGGGCAGAGCCTCAGGTCAAAGCCCCAGCATGCATTGTGCCCAGTAGGTGATTCTCCCCTTGCTAAGGGTCCCCTTCCCCAACTTTAAAACAGATCCTTAAGTCCTGGTGCCCCAGCCTCAGGAATTGTGGTTTATGCCTCAGAGAGGCATGCTTTACAGTATGCATTTCCAGGTGGACTTGTCTTGGTGATTGTCCTCAAAGGGCCTTGATATGTGATTGTGAACCAACTAGCTCTGCTCAAGCGTTCAACCAGCGCAAATGGCCATAGCCAACTACAGCATCTTCAAGGCTGGAGCCAACTTCAGTATCTCAAAGGCCAGAGCCACTGCAGCCATAGCAACCATAGTTGGAGCAAAAGATAAATGTAAATGATGAGTCATTTGATTCATAGATGGCACAATGTCCACCAAACTATACCAAAAAGATCAGCTAAATAAGAGCATGGGAGAACAACTTCTACACAGAATGCCCCAGAATTCATAGAGATAGTGCATCACAGAGTTAGGCAGCACTTCCTCAACAGCATAGCCAAGTATGGGCTAAGATCTTGAGAGGTGTCACAGCCAGGCCATGCAGACTGCAAGCACCTTGGGGGCAATGTGACAAGGATGAGATGCTGCCTCTGTGCCTTTCTCCTAAATCCATAACCCCTGACTTTTACAATTCCAGTTGAGGGATGGTCTATACTACTCCCCCCACGCTAGCAGTGTAGGAACTGTCATGATCCTCAGTGACAAGGGATGCTGGTCACAGCTGGAAGAAAGACAAGATGTGACCGTGGGTAGAGAGTGATGTTCTAGACAGGTCCTGAGACAGAAAGTAACTCAAGTAAAAATGGCTGAAACTTAAATATAGTTAGCTTGATGCAATGAATGGTTCCAGGTTCTGGAGGGGTGTCAAAAGTCAGAAGTGGGCCCTGAGTGAGAATGGTGGCACCTTCTGGTACCATCTAAAGCCATTCCAAAGCAAAATAGTGACTTAAACAGAAAAGAAGTCATGGGCCACACCAGAGCCTGGGCTGCCCCGCCCTGTATAGGGCCTTTTCCTGGAAGGTGTCAGAAGCACCCTGGATATGAAGCCTTCAAAAAGAGCCTTGAACCTGTACAAAGGAACCTCTGTGCCTCTCCTTGGGTGACATTGGGGGCCTGGAGGGGCTTATTATTAAGGGCCAGTGAGGAAAGATGGCTTCCAAGTAATCAGGGTATCCAGTTCACATGGCATAGTCCCTTCACCTCCACAGGAAGTGATACAGATCGTGCCCACTATGTGGGGCTGACATGGGCATACCACGAAAGCACACAGCAAATGCTACAGGCAGGTCTGTGGGGTCAAGGTCAGCAGGGTTTTTTTTTCAGCCTTGCAAGACAGGCAAGCATGTTTACAGGAAAGAAAAAGGTCCCATGGTGGTCTTGCCCTCCTGAAGGTTTTGTCAGCCAGGTAGATCCTGAGCCTGAACTTGGAAAAGTCCAGGCAGTATGGACCCTGGGAAGGGCCTTGCAGGTCAGACACGGGGCAGGGAAGACTTGGCGGCAGTGTCCCAGGCAGGGACCAAGGTGTGGCTGGTGTTGAAGGCCCATTAGTAAGTGTGACAGGGACCTGGTAGATCATCAAGGCCACCCACTATACCTCAGCTTCCTTTGTCTTGGCCCCTCTGAACAACTGAGAAACTGTAGCCCCTCCTCTAGTGCGTGCACACATATGTAGGAATTCTATTTGTCATTTCAGGGGACTTCACCCTGTAGGCCAAGCTCTGGAGAGGACAGGAATGTTGGACCATTTTAGAATCCTCAGCCACCTGGATGAGGGCGACAGAAATATCCATAAAGCCTAGACAGAAAATAAAAGGTTACATCAACAGCCCAGGCTACAGGGTCTCAGCTCAAGGATGACACCTAGTAGGGACAGTCTTCAGCCATAGCAGAGTGCCTACACTGTCTCTGTCATGACTTATGTGACATACAGAGCCATGGCCTCATGCATAAAAGGAGCCTGTGGCCCTCATCTTCTGGGGTGGGGCCCCTGCTACTGCTCAGAGGAGCAGAAGCTCAGTGGATGCAGCCAAAGCCAAAAGGCTCTATATAGTTCTAGAACAAAATCTTTTAGTCTCCACAGCTCCATCAGTGTTTATAGGTGAAATTAGTGACCACGCTCAGGCAGGAGAAAATACCCAAAGTAAGAGTCATCAGTCTCCTTGGGTGGCCACTGGTTGAGGCCTCCTGCAGCCAGGACCTCCCTGCCTGTCTGTGATGTCCCTTGCTTGTCTCCAGTCCATTCAGGCCTGGCTTCTGTCCCGTTGTCTTTAGGGGCCTGCTGCTTGATCTTGCCATTCAAAGGCATAGTTCTCAGATCTAGAGAGCCCTCTCCTTGCCAGTAGCCCTATCAGGTACTGCCCTGCAGTCTCCCAGGTCTGTGGAAGAGAACAGTTGTATCTTGGGGTGTCTTACTGTGAGCCATGCTCCTCATCACATGTCCAATGCCACTGTGTTCTGTCCATCACATCCTTTATCGGCGGTAGGCTAGGCGGGGCATCCTCGCAGGTCACCAGGTGTCTTGGATAGATGATATGATCATCCAGCCTCCTTCATAGAACACAAAACATAGCTCCAGCAGAGAGAAGTTGGAGGCAGCAGAGTACCCTTACGATTTTGCTTGCTAGAAACAGACATGTCTAGGACTGTGGAAGTGGATGGGTATTGATCTCCAGTCCTCTACACTGGCAAAGCCTCCTCTGTGGTTGTGAGGAATGCCTTTGATCCATTCCCACTCCTTAGTCCTAGTCTCACCATTAATCAGTGGAGTCTCTAAGCCAGAAGGACCTTCCTGCATGAGCTACATCAGGGAACCACAAATGATGAGCCCGCCGTGTGTGTTCTCACTGGATCCTGGGCTCTGCCCGCTGCCCATGTACTTAACATGCTCTTGACCCTCCAATCACTGCCCCTTCATCCCGTCCAGCCCCTGGAACCAGGCATACTCCAGGTTGGAACAGAAATCGTAGGGTCCAAGCTGGATAGTTCAGGAGTGGGCTTCCTTCAGGCAGGGGAGAGGGGGTTCACTGCGGATCAGCTCTTTTTGCCTGAAACCCTCTGCTTTGCTTTTCTGCCCCTCATCTGCTGTCTCTGCTCTTGTGTCTGGAGGCAGCGAAAGTGGCCGCAGCACCCCGAGTCTCTCGGTGCACTCCGACAGCAGGCCTCCTTCCTCTACCTATCAGCAGGCGCCACGACACTTCCACGTCCCAGGTAGGTCCCTGCATGCTTGCTGGCTCCTCACGTGCCATCTCGGCCGCACCGAGAGGTGTCAGCACCTCTCCAAACACTGAGGTTTCCTAAAACGTACTCCATGGAATAAGGTGCAGTGGTGCAAACCAGTTATCTCAGCACTGAGCAGGTGCTGGCAGGAGGATCGCAAGTTCAAGGCCAACCTTGTTTATTCTCCAAATAAACAGCATAAAATTCCTAATGTAATATGTTTGCACTACCCTCCCCCCCCTCCCCAGCTGACATATGTTTGGGGTTTTCTCCAAGTCTCATGAATACTGAGAAAATGCTTTTGTCCTGGGTCAAAGTGGAGAAAAGAGTCAGCTGAACCCAAGGTTCTTGTTTGCTGCCTTCCCTGTCTACCTCTCTCCCTGTCCCTTCCAATCTGCATCTGAACTGGGGAATGCTCAATAGATGTGTGGGGCTTCAGCCTTGGCCACTTGCAGTTTTGGGACCTTTCTGGTGATTTTGGGCTGGGGGAGCCAGTTTCTGACAGAAGCCACTGGGTGGAGAGAATCATAGCTGCTTCCCCGCTCCCCCTCACTGTTTTTTCCTTCTCTTTCCTTCTTCTTCCCCAGACACTGGCGTAAAAGATAACATCTATAGGAAACCCCCTATCTACAAGCAGCACGGTATGGTCGGTCTGATGGACTCTGCTGCCATGCTTTTCCTGCATGCCTGTTGTACTCTCTTGATTCTGAATGCTCCCTTTGCTGTGTCCTGATCTGGAAGCCCTGCTTGCTGACCTTTAATGCACACCCACTAGTAGGCTCCTGGGAGGCCTCTCTTCACAAGAGAGAAGATGTGTGGAGAGGCTAATGCATGGCATCTGGGGCTGGGTGCGTGAGCTAGGATTAAGAACATTTATTTGTTTTTTTGTTTTGTTTTGTTTTGTTTTTCGGGGGGGGGGCTACTGTGAGGGCTCCTTATCTATGCCCTGACACAGGCCTGATCTTTGGATAATGACTTGGAATCAGCCACAGTTTAGGGAGACTTTAGGCCCTGTCTTTTGAGACTATCTGCTGTAGGGTGATGTGGCTGGTCCTTAGCTAATGGGGTTCCTTGCATTGTGTAGAAGCTAGAGATGGTTGGCCACAAAAAGGGGTCTCCTATCCCTCTGGCCCTCCCAGTCTTCTCCTCCTGAACCTGCCTGGAACAGATGTGCAAGAAAAGGATTGCTTGAGCTGTGGAGCAGAACTTTAAAAAAGTCAGAATTTTGATTTCTGGGTGACTGGGGCTGGCCACTTCAGTACCATGAGCCTTGGTTTCCTCATCTGCATACCACATTTCCTCCTGCTCCATCCTCTACCTCATCACCTCCAGTTCCAACCCCTTGCCATTTCTGTCCCTCCATTCCTTCAGGATTGGGGATCAGATGCTCATAGAGCAATGAGTGTGCAAACAGTTCTAAGCTCTGTGAACAGCTGCGCACAGCAGAGACTTACCCCATCACTAGAGACGGGAGAGAAGGGAGATTCCCATACGGACAGCTCTTGTTCAAGGAAAGCATCCACTTCCCACATTGACAAGTAGTAGCCAGCTCATTGGAGGCCTGCTGTGTTGGGTTTTGTTCCTCATTGAGGACAAGAGGACCTGTGCTTTGTGTCTTTCCTCTTCCACACAAAAGGAAAGAAGAGGATTGAATTCCTGGTCTCAAGAATCTAAGCAGAGAGCACACATCTCCTAAGAGATGGGTGAGGACAATTAGATTATGACAGTTTTTACCAGGAACAGCACCATAGCACAAGTCCTACAAATGGGGAAACTGAGCCCCAGTAAGAGGAAGGCGCACCCCATTAGCTGACCCCTGCAGCACTATGCTGGGCAGTCTTTGAGGAGGACCATGGGCTCTGTGCTCCCAGAGCCCAGGATAGCGCTTGGCATATGGCTCCTTAGGTATCCTCTCCATCTCTGCTACCTCTGCATCTCCACAGTGCGCATTAACTGTGTGGTTAATATAGTCCAGGAGGAGTTGGCCTTGGCAAGGGCTCAGTGATAGGAAACCACCTTATGAAACCGACCACCAGCATCTGATAGAGCCACACTGAGACAGAGAGTTGGCATTCAAATCCTTTACCTGAGCCCCCCAGGTGAGGTCAGGTTCACAGTTGGCAGCCACCAGCCTGATAGTCTAGACATAAGACAGTGGCCTGCCTGCAGGCAACTCCGGCTTGAAGGAACCCTGAGCAGCTACCCAAGCCCAGGATTCTGTATGTTGGTTCTATAAAGAATCAGGTCTAAGAGAGCACTGCCTCTGCCAGGCATACAGCAATGCAAACTCATGATAAGAGTGCAATAAGCCATGCAAACTGCAAGTGACGAGAAAGCTTCAGCAGCACAAAAGCTCCTTAAAAACCCCTCGGGAAATGTACACGGGTGCCTTTGCTTCACAGTTCATGCCTTTGAGACCTTTGGCCTCACAAGACTTCCCCACCCCCAATTTCAGGTGGGAGTGTATGCAAGCATGTTCGTGTACACACGTGCGTGCTTGAGCCACCACCAAGTGCTTGTTCCCTCAAGACAACAGGCCTTTCCCAAGAAGCTCTGGAGCCTCATCTAGGCACTAGTAGCATCATTTTAATCCATGCTCCAGTTCGAAACAACCCCTGAAGGACTGCCATGAGTCACAGGACCGTTCCATTGGCTTAAGAGCCTATGTGTAACATATTAAAAGCAGCCACGCCTTTCCCCTGATGCATTTGCTCGAAGCGGTCTGCTGTGAAGTCACGGGACATGAACTTACACTGCCGGTGTAAGTTAGCGTTATTCTTCCCTGATGTCTGAGTCTCATCCCTGCTTCTGGGAACCATGAGGATGGCCCAGCCTCTGTGCCCACTGGGTGGAAGTGATGCTTGGTGTGGAGAGCAAGAGGCTTTGGAATCGATGGAGCAATCATTAATGTGCAGCTGACCTCTGACCTCATCACCTGCTGCGGACAGAAGCTTCAGGGTGGTCTGCAGCTCAGGAGCGGCAGGGCTCTTTGTGTTTCATGTGCAATGGAGTCCCATGCTTGAGCACACGCACACATATTTGCACATACACATTCACACACACGCCTGCGTGCACATTCACCTGTGCACACATACATACCTGCGTGCATACATATGCCTGCATTCACACATGCCTGCACGCTTGCACACACACACACACACACACACACACACACACACACACCCCTACCTGCACGCACACATAACTGCATGACATGTATCTACAGACACATGTACCATCCAATCATGTCACCTTAGGGAGGCAGTTATGGGGGAAAACACAGCTGTTCACATCCAGCTACTTAGGAGAGAAAAATGCTTCCTTCCTCAGGGTTCATTCCCCCCAGAAAATTGGGATTAGGCCTTGTGCCTCATAGCGCTTTTCCAGATTCTGGAAATGGCAGAGCTGCTTAGACAGAAGGGACTCTGGAGGTGATCTCTCAAAGGAAGGAAAACATTTGTTTTTAGATTGCTGTTTCATTTGTTTTTATCCTGCTGTTTCGTTTGTTTTCTTGTTGCTGTGATTAAAAACACCCCGAAAAAAGCAGCTGAAGGGAGGAAGGGTTTATTCCGGCTCACAGTTCAAGGTCCATCTTGGTGGACCTTTATGGTGCTTGCTGTGCCTCTCAGGGGTTTCTTTCCTAGAGGATGGAGTCTCACTTTGGTTTGGGGGTGCTCTTCTGGGATGTGATGAAAAACCAGGTATCAGGTAGGCTGTGTCCACGAAGATCATCATAAACTTGGTACCCCCATGGGACATGTCTGGCAGCAGTTCTCGAGGACATGGGGCATGGAGTAGTCAGTCTTTCCAGAGAGGGCTCTGAGCACAGGCCTGTGGAGCTGAGCAGAGCTTCTCTGTGTGTTTTGAAGGATATGATAAGGCCCTTTCCCTGGAAGAGGGACAGTGGGTGGGAGAGAAGCTAGTAGGCAGAGGTGCTGGTTCCACATCCCTCCCTCTGACATCACTGTCAGTTCTGGAAGCAGTCAGCAAACAGATGCCATTCCCCAGACTTCATAGAAGGAAGCCAAGTGAAGAGAGATGCTAGGGCTTTCACTAACTTATCCAAAGGGTGCTTTTTTGAGCAGCTAAGTATTTGGCTCTACTTCAGGGCTTGGAGACATAGGGATGGACAGACTGCCTCACACACATTCTCTATCACTGTAATTCCAAAATGATTTAAACTGCACAGGTTGGTGCATGCTGGGCAAGAGAAGTCCTGATCATTTGTCTGATTCTCAGAGACCCATATGGACCTGAGTAGAGAACCAAGATTCCCACCTCCACTGTTCTGGAACCCTATGATCTGAGGAGAGACATTAAGTTCCTGAGAATCCCCCATGTGTTTAGAAACTCCTTCCTATAAATGGAGATAGCATCAGCCAGGTCTGTCTAGGGCCCAGCTGTCAAAGCCTGTTCTTGGACACTCACAGAGCTTGGTAGGAGTGGCAGACCAGACCTCCAGGAGAGAGTAGAGCTGAGAACACCTGATGGCCACAGACTACCCCTGAGCACCTAGTAACAGTTCTGGTGGTGCCCTGGAAGCCAGAGCTGTGGACCCCCAAAGGCAAGTGGCTTAGCTCCCATGGAAACTCTGGGCCCACTGTGCTGTGTCCATCCATCTGCTTTCTGTGTCCACTTCTCTGTTGAAGTTCAACATGTGAGGCATTGGAGGAGGCACCAGGCACAAAAGGTACTGCTGTGACACTGAGCATTTCCTACCAGTTGCTCAGTGGAGAGGTAGATTTGTGCCCAGGTCCCTGTGAACGGTGAGGCCTTGTACTTTATACACCTTTTAGGGAGAACAAAGTCTGTCAGCCAAGGCTGAAAAGGGCCCTGTTTCTTGTGTTCCTGTGCTCAGAGCAGGGCAGGTGCATACTGTGCAAAGGGGAATGGGGTGGGGGTGGGGAGGGCGATAAATACTGAAAGGGTTAGTGGCAGAGGCCCAACATGATGAGGGACAGGTAGATAGATGAAGGGCTGCATGGAGGAGTAGACTGAAGAGGGCAAAGGGAGGTATGCATAGTGTGGTTGGGTGAGTAACTGGAGAACTGTGGATACAGGGATGGGTCAGTCAGTTAGTGCAAGCATGGATGAATGGAAGATAGGTAGGTAGACAGACAGATGGCTAGACAGATAGATGGCTTAGTGGATGAGTGGGTGGATGGATAGATAAATAGGTAGGTTAGTGCATGGGTGAATGGATGGAGGAATTGATTGGTAGATAGATAGATAGATAGATAGATAGATAGATAGATAGATAGATAGATAGATAGATAGATACATACACACACACATACATATATACATACATACACAGATAGATACATAGATAGATGGCTTAGTGGGTGGATGGGTAGATGGATAAATAGATGGGTAGGTTAGTGCATGGGTGGATACATGAATAGCTAGATAAACAAACAAACAAAGTAGCAAAGAAAGGAACAAAGAAAGAGATAGATGGCTTAGTGGGTGGGTGGGTGGGTGGGTGGATGAATGGATGGATAAATTACTGGGTGGGTTAGTGGATAGGTGGGTAGATAAATGAGCAGATGCAAGGGTTAGTGTCTGGGTGAGTGGGTAGATGAGCAGGAAGGTGGGTTAGTGGGCAGGTGGAATGTTAAGAGACTATGTAGATAGAGATGAATAGATGAGCAGCCAGAGGGACTCATGCTTGGCACATGAGTGTGTTCAGATTTAAGTGATGGTGAGAGGGAAGGAGGGAAGACCTGACTGCAAATTACTTCTTTCCTATTTCTAGCATTGCAGACTTGTAAGTTGGCCTTTGTATTCTCAGACCTTATCTTGCCTGGTCCTATGAGTTAGAGGGTTAGGGTGGCAACTTCCTGCTTTAAAGATCAGGAAACTGAGGCTCAGGGCTGTTACGGAAGCAAGCAACCAACAATGCAAAATGCTGTGTGAATTTGGCTCTGGCCTGGAAAACCGCACACCTGTCACAGCTTGTGGTGTTTGCAGAGGACCCTTGTTAGGACTCCACAGAACATTTCCCTCAGAAAGTGGAGGAGCATTCTGGAGCCCTGGGTAACACTATGCTAGAGTGTGTCTGCCTGGTGTATCACTGTGGCTCTATGAAATCTTGAAAACCCATGGCCTCGGCTACCACATCCTGGGATTTCACATCCTGAAGAGCCGTGGGCTCAGTCGCTGGCTCAGAGGGTGGAGCAGGGCTACCAGGGCTCAGAGTGGCCACAGCACACTTGTCCCTGTGCCCTCGGTCAGCTGCTGAGGGTCAATGCTGGTGTACTAGAGGCGTTCTGTGCTGTTACTCTGTGACAGCCATTGTCTGAGCAAGAGGAGTCACAGCGCCCTCCTCTCTGTGTCTCCCCGTTGAGCCTCCCCAGCAGGTCTGTAGTTAAATGGCCTCTGTATGTGGAAAGAGCAGAGGGTTTATTTTTACCTAAAAAAAAAAAAAATCAGTCTCTCGCACTGGGAGAGAGAGGTAGCCAACCGGGGGAGACACAGAGTCTGCATGTCTAGAATGAAAAGTACTCAGTCTTCGATTTTGGCCCTATCTTGTCAAGGTCCTGTAGCCCAGTCCCCAATGTCCAAGCTCTCTGGCCTGGTGTCAGTTTTGTCCTTGGTGGTGCAGGAGGCAGGGCGCTCCAAGAGACGGGCAGGGCTGAGCCCACCACAGGCTTCAGGTAAGAGGCCCGCCTGCTCTCCTCCTAGCTGGGGAGGATCCCAGAGCTCTAGCTGTTGCTCTGTGCACGGGTTGGGGTAGGTTTCTGTAAGTGGCCCTGCACTGAGTGCGTCCTGAAACATACCAGCATGCCCTGCATGGTTTCTTTGTTTACTCCTGGGAAAAGGGTCAGCCCGGTAGGACGACAAAATGCTGCCAAGAGCCTTCTTGGTAAACGGGCTGCTGCCGTGTGAGCTCTTGCTCCAAGTGAGCTCATCTCTGGGTATGCTGTTGTTCTTTGTTGTCTCTCAAGTGCTCTTCCCAGGGGCACAGCTTAGGACTGGTCAGGCAGCAGGCAGCTGACTGGGATAGGCAGGCAGGGGAAACTTGGGACTTTGACTGTCTGAGTTCATGTCAGTCAGCCCTCACTTCATGCCGGTCTATGACCTCAAAGCAAGGCACCTCTCGGGTCTCAGTCTCTTGTTCTGTGAAATGGGGCAAATCCCAATTTTGAAGAGTTCATGATGAAAAGAAGCAGTAATGCCCAAGAAACACACACCTATGCCTGCCACCAAAGCCTCTGAGGCTGAGACCTTCTGCCCCTTCAGGGTCCCCCTCCAAAAGTCAAAAGTATGTCCGTCAAATGCTATCTCAAGTGGCCACCCCTGAAAACGTGAGACCATTACTCCAGGTTGGAGGTGTAGCTTGAACTGAAGTGAGTGTCACTTTGCTCAGGGCATATGCCCACTTCCTGGGTAACGTTCCATTGTGTCACTCTTCCGGCCTGTGAAAGGCATTCATTCTGTGGTCCCTACCTTTGATTTTTTTTTTTTTCACTTTTGAGCACTATGTAAAGTAGGGCTCCCAGGACAAACACAGGGGGAGCTGCCTTTACAGACGGATTTTTTTTTCCTTTACAGCTGCCAGGCGATTGGATGTGGAGGACAGTAGTTTCGATCAGGATAGCAGGAAGGTAACAAAGATGCCATCCTCCTGCAGGGTGGGATGGCTACACCAGCGGATCTCCAGGATCTCCAGTCGTTCTCTCTCTCAGCTCCTGGGGTCCTGGGGGGACCCAAAATGGGAGATATATCCACTTGCCTCCTTCTACACTCATTACGGGCACATGCTCTGGCAGTGTCCTGGCTCTGCCATGTATCCAGGAGGTGTGAACAATGACAAGGAAGTAAACCCAGTGCATTCTGGGATATTTGACATGGAGGTTCTAGAACAGCTTGTCGGGTGTTTTGTCTGTCTGTTTGCTTTGTTTTTTTTTAAATAAGTGGCCAGAGACTAGAATGTATTAGACCTTTGTGGTATAACCTCTTTGATGCAGCCAAGCTGTGAAAGCAGCCCAAGATGACTGGGGTGGGGGTGGGGATGGGACTGGGAGTGGGGCATCACAACAGCAGGCTACAGGCAGGGCTTGGCCATTTCTCCAGCTGCTTCACGAACTTTCAGAGTATATGAGTGAGACACCTTTAATGGTGAGGCTGGTATTAAAAGCTTGGCTTCTCTCAGCGTGGGGTCGCCTTGTGGGTTACAAGTCCAGAAGCTAGTAGAAGGTTCTGGTGAGGTGTTTTCACCATTGCAGATTACTTCAATGTTCCCATCCCTCTGTTCCTCTGCAGAAGACCACCTGGCTGCTCCTCAAGGGGGATGCAGACACCAGAACTAACTCTCCGGACCTGGACAGTCAGTCTCTGTCCCTTGGCAGTGGAGCTGAGCGAGAACCTCTTCCGAGGATGCCAGGGGACAGCTTCTACTCACGTGAGTGGTTCTTCTGATGTGCACCGGAGACTGCCTGTGAAGGGCCCCACCGAGGGGGCCCCCAAATCTCAGCTTTCCTCCCTGGAAAAAACTAAAAGCCAGCGACAGCATGTAGTCCTAGCATTTGGAAGATAGGATTGGCAGAAGGATTGCCATGAGTTTGAGGCCAGCTTGAGCTACATAGTGAGACACTGTCTCAAGAATAAAATTAAAGCTAAAACATCCAAAGAGCATTTGAATGTGAATCAAGCCAAGTAAAGATCTGAGCCCTGGCCTCACCCACCATCTCTCTGAAGTGACATAGCTAGCTAGTGTGGGCACAGTGCCACCTCGTGGCTCTCTCAGAGCAGGCAAGAAAGCAAAGACGCTCCCAGAACCTCTTTTCCTGGGGGTGGGGGGCAGATGTGGTGGTCATGGTCAGGGGGCGAGTCCAGACCTGGAGCTGGTACAAGGCACTGTCCTGGTCCCTGTAACATGAGCAATGCACTTGGAGATTCCTAGGAGATATGGTCCAACATCACAGGTAACAATGCAGACATCTGCCTAGCCTTGGGGGTGTTGTGAAGTCTGGCTTGGGGGTGATTCTCAAGTATGGAGTAGATTCCCATCATGTTGTTCACTGAAGATATTGTAAGGTGGAGCTAGCACAGGCTGCAAACAGACTCAGGCCCGCCCAGAAGCAGCCTCTTTCTGGTCTAAGCTAGGCAAGAGGTTGTTTGCTATGGCTGTAGCTGTGGCTGTGGTTGGAAGTGGAGGTCATGGGAATCTATGCAGTGTGAGAAAGCAGACGAAGCCCCTGAGATCCAGGTGGTACTGACTCAGAGTGAATTCTACGCTCCCTGGTGACTGGCTTATGATAGAAGCCAGAGCAGCAATGCTGACTCTCAGGTCATTAGGCACCAGACATACAAGGGTGCTTTGCCTGGCCAGTAGTAGACAGCCATGAGTGTTCCCTACCCAGTCTCCCTCCTGACCCTGGGTTGTGCAAATGATCTTTGTGGCATTTGGGTTTGTGCAATGGACGCTCTTTCACAGAGCAGAGCTTAGGAGTTGCCTATAACCCTCACTGCCTTATGTGGTCTGGCATCCAGGCATCAGCTGGGGGCCGAAAAAAAAATAGTGTTGGTATTTCAGGATGGTGTTTTTCAGTTTTTGGTCTTTGCTTTGTTAAGGGAGTGCCTCGTTCCATTGCCATGACCTCACCCAGACTCTCCCCATGACAGTCAGCCCGTGCCCTCAGCCATCCCCATTGAAACTTATGGACTGCCAATGGCTCAGGACTGAGGGAAGCAGAGTGGAAGGAGCCTGCCGGTAGCTGTCACCTCCCGAGGTCCTGCTGTCACAATGCTGTGTGGCCTTTGCCCTATACCTTCCTGTGGTACTTTCTCATCTGTGGGTGCCAGAATGAGGGTGTTCATCCTGAGCACTTTTGAGTGTGATGGTTCCTATGAGGCAGGCTATACCAGCTGTCTTCATTGGCCACTCCTATGGTGACAAGGGCTTGCCTGCCAGTCCATCCCTCTATTGAATCCCTACAGCAAACCAACATGAGTGGTGCGGACAGGAAGCAGCTGTTATGTGGGTGCACCTGGCCTTTAGAGACCCAGCCACCTGTGCTGGGACCTGTGCCACCGCTGAGGGGGGGGCCCTGCACAGTGAGGACGCCATTTGTGAGGGTTTGAACTACTGTACCTGTTATGTGCCAACAGCCGTGACTACATCCTCCTGCCTCTGCTTTTCTCCTGGTGTCCTGACTTCCAGTCTCCCGAGCAGGAAGCCCACGGGATGTAGCATTGCACCTGTGCCTTTACCCACACACCAGTGGCGCTGCCAAGTCCCACAGGGCAGCAGTCCTCTGCCAGGTGCTGCTCTCCTATCAGTGAGGTGCATGTTTTATTATAGATGTGTTTACTTTCCTTCTGTTTCACGTGTGGGCGCTTCCTGACTCTGTAATTAATGAGTGGTCATTAATGACTGCCTGAGTCTTCACAAAAGGGGACAGGGTTGGCTTTTGTGCTAAGAAGAGAGCCTTGAAGGCCTTGGAGAGTGAGACTTGATGCCCCGAGTCCCCTCCCCTAGCTTGCATCCTGTGGATATATGTTCTCTAGGTCCCACGTTCCTGACCTTCCATGTCTTCTCTTTTGAGGTCCCTTACTCACGGCATAAGTAAAAATGTGCACACTCAGATGCAGGCATGATAGAGATCTGGTAGTATATAATTCAAGCTGGTGGTATATAATTTAAGCCCCCAGGTCACAAAAGGCACTACCCATGGCTCTCAGTGGCCCCTAGCAAGTCCCCAGAGTTTTCAGAGGGAGTATACCTCTGCTTTACATCACCAGGATGAGAGGAAGGTGGGAGGAATGAGCTCAGGGTGGCTTGGGGCTTAGAAACAAATGAGGAGTCTTTCTGACATAGCAATTCAGAAAGTGAAAAGGAGACTCCAACAGGGACCACTTCATCCCAGACTGCCCTGTGCCTTTAACATTGGTGTCACCTCAGTGTCCTCCAGCAGGAGGCCCCTATAGAGCATGGACTAGAGGATATGCCAGTGTCTGCCGTCCCCTTGAGCCATTCAGCAACAGCGGGATGGAAGGAAGGAAGGAAGGAAGGAAGAAGGAAGGAAGGAAGGGCCAGACTTTTCCCTCCACTCTTTGATCCATACAGAGTTCATCCTGAGAAAAAGTTGTCTCTCCTTCCCTTATCTGTGGCTATGAAGAGCAGGCTCCTCCTGACCTGTCAGTGTTCTGGGAGTACTGAGGGTGGTGGCTAAGCACGCAGGTAGAGCTGTGACTGAGACCCCTAGGTGGCAGAGTTCACAGGTATCTGAACTGGAAGATCTTTGCCATTTCCATTTCCAAGTCAGGGTCCAGACAGGCAGGACCAGTCCAGTCACCTAGCACAGTCCTTGAACACCTTCTATGCCCCAGCCCCATTCTAGGTGTGGGACCAGAGCTAGGCTTGAAACAGAAAAAAGCCTTCTGACCTGTGGAGCTGCAGGGAGGTGGGGCAAGTCAAATGGCATATGTGGGTTGGCAGCTAGGGCACGCTAGCAGAGGAGCCATGAACATGTAAGAGGTCATCAGGCAGGAGGCCAATGCCCCAGTGAGTCCTGGAAGCATTGGTGCTTGGGAAGCTATGGTCCAGCTGAGGGCAGAGGCAGGGCTAGCGAACTGTGTGGCCAGGTCACCATTCCAGCCCCCACCCCACCCTGTACAATGACAGCCCCAGAGGACTTCAGGCTTCTCCCGTGAGCTGGGACCAAGTTGGCTGGAAGGTGACAGGAGGCAGCTGCCAGCATCTGTGTTAGAGAGGTATTCTGGACAATGTACAACATAGTGAAGGCTTGGCGACTGGCTTCTGCAGAGCCCCAGGGAGACACATACAATGGTATAGTGGGAGAGGGACTAACCAGATACAAGATGTGAACAGGCATGGCTCTCCGGAAAGATCTGAAGGCTACAAATGTGTCCAGGAAACCATGAGAGGGGTTGACACAGATCACTGCCCAGCTGATAGGGCCACAGCTAGTCATTGATAGGGTACCTTGCGCACCTAACAAGCCTCTCTGGTATGAAATTTCCTCACCTACAACATCCAGGCACATGGTCCTGTGAGACTCATATGCCAGATTACGATGAGCCTGTAGCCGCCAGCTCAAGCCTGTCCCACCAGCTTCCACAGCCTGAAGCTCAAGATGCTCAGGAACATTGAGTTGTACTCTTCAGAGCTGAGAGGAACTACCCTAAACAGAGCAGGCAGTGGCAGTCACATACTGGACCCCAGTGAAAGGATGGTGACGTGCTGTGGCTTGCCGGCCAGTTGTCAGAAAAATGTCCTGGGATGCTGCGACAAGCTTGCACCTCCTACTGCGTGAGAAGCACTCTCTCTGTCAGTCACACGTCCTGACTGTCCAGGGGCTGCCCCGGCCACTTTTGAGCCATCCTGGAGGAGAACAGAACCAAGGACCCTGTATTCAGAATTCCAATAACAGTCAGCAGCATGCTTCATAATGGCTATGGGTGGAATCCTGAGAGCTGGTGCACAGATGTGTGATTAGGCCAAGTCTGGGCCTGGCCCAGGAGTTGGGTGTGTTCAGTGCCTGTAGGGCCTGATATAAGCTAGGGTCATGAGCACATAGCTGTGAACTAGCCCATTGTCTTCTGTCCTCTGCCTGCCCCTTCCTGTGCACACCCACCTCTCTCTCACGGCCCCACACTCTTGAAGGTCATCTAACCTCATCAGAGAGACATGCAGTCCCTAGGTGACATGAGAGAGCCATTTGATCTTAAACAGGTCACTCGATTCCCCCAGGCTCTAGCTCTCTTGTATTCAAGGCACAGAGGTCCTTGGCACAGAGTTTATGGAGCATGGGGTTGGATCTTGGATGTGTGAAGAGCTTTTAAATAGAAAAAGTTACCTGCTCTGCTCTCCATGGGACTCTGGGACCTTTAAAACCACACCATGGCAGGTCCCTCCCTAAGAGAGATTGATTGTAACAAGAACTAGATAGCAACTCGAGGACAAGACCATCACTATCACACCCATCTAGTTCTTCCTGCTAAGCAAACCTAAAATAAGAGGGCTGTAGCAGAGCAAGCAGCCACAGGGTGGGAAGGAGCAGGAGGCTGGCTACCCGTATAGGGGCGGGGGATGGCTGTGGAGCAGGAGGCCAGCAGAGAGGAGGCCCAGAGAAATGGTGTTTACGTATAGCTAACTTCTTCTGCCTCCCAATTGGCAGGACAGACAGTGCACAGGCAGCTCTGGTAGGGATTGTGGGGGCGGGCACCAGCAACCCTAGGCAAGTCTAGAGGAATGGCGCAGCTTATCAGGTCAGCGCTCCGGGAAACGATGACCCACGGGAATCGGTCTGTACGCGAGTCCCTGCACATTGGACCCGTCAGAATCGTGCCTTGCTAAAATGGAAGACTACGTAAAATCCCATCCCTTATCACAACCTTTGGAGATCCAGGATTCAATTGAGAAATGATCTGTAGCACCCAGAACCGTGACTGTAGCATTACAATGAGAAAGAGTCAGCAGACTCGGACAGTGGGAAGAACTGGTGTTGGTGCCATCTGAAAGGATTCTAAGACATCTGTCATAAAGATGCTCAAAGTAGGCAGTTGTGTTAAAACTGGAATAGAGAGAAAGTCCCAGCAAAGAAACACAAATTACTTTGAAAAAGGAAGCAACTGAAGCTGACATTGAACCGAAAAATAAAATAATGTGAACACCTGTTGCATGGGTTCAGGGACAGAATGACGGACTCGGACAGAAGACATGGAATCTTCGTCCTAGTTTGGACATCAGAGAGAAGAAAAACAAGCACCAGGGACCTGGGGAGTGGTGTTTGTATTTTTGAATTCCCAGGAGGGGAGAAAGAACGGATTAGAATCATTCAAAGGAACAATGGCTGAAAACCTCCCAGACTCGGCAGAAGACATAAACCTGCAAGATCAAGAAAAAGAGTGAACCCCGAAGAAGATCAACCAAAAAGAGTCTGCACCAAGATGTACTACTAAACTTCAGAACACTAAGGTTTAAAAAAACACTTCTTGAAAGTAGGCAGTGAGGAGAGCAATGTCATCCACAGGAAGCACTAGTTGATGGCAGCTGATTCCTCATGGAAACTACAGGGATGGAGAGCGAGCTGTTATAGAAAACTGTTAATTCAGAGGGCTTTTCTATTTACCTTCTCTAGCTCCCAAATAAAAGGCACAGAGACTTTTTAGGTTTATCAATAAGCTAAGCTTAATAACTGGGCATATCTCCTTTCATACTAAACCTCTAAGCTAGTCTGGCTGCTTCCCAGCCACATGCCCAAAGTTACTTGCCAATATTGATCCTGTCTGGGCTCCTCTGCTCCATCAGGGCACATCCTTTCTTTCCATCTTCTTTTTTTCCCCTTTTCCTTGTGATCCCTACCAAGACCCCCAAGTCCAAGAATGGAAGCTCTGCCTGCCTCCCTTTTGCCCAACTACAGCCTGTCTAGTTTTTTTTTATTAGCCAATCAGAGATAGTTGGGAAGCAAAGTTTATACAACATTGATCAGCGTACATGGCAATGCACTTGTCTGGACTGCAGCCAGATCATGGGGCCTAGAATTCAGTGTTTATATACATAGAGCACTAGACCAACCCCCCAACAGTAAGTGACATGTCTTCCTGAGCTGAAGGGAAGGCCTGTCCGTGAGTTCTACATTTGGTGAGAATATGCTTCTGGATGGGAGGAACATGGACCTTCTCGGATGAGGAAAGCTGAGGGAAGCTGTCACATTTAAGAGTGGTTATGGGACTTTCTTCAGAGAGAGTGTGGTAATTGCACAGGCTCAAAACCTCAGAAGGAGAAAAGCCTAGGGATGGGGGTGGGGTACCACAGCCATCCATCCTTCTCTTCTCGAGATTTTTCTTTCTTTTTAGATTATTTTATGTGTATGAGTATTCTGCCTGCATGTATGTCTGTGCAGTGCCCAAAGAGTCCAGAAAAGGGTATTACATATGGTTGTGAGACATGGTGGAGTACTGGGAAATCAAACCTGAGCACTCTTAACTGCTCAGCCATCTCTTCAGCCCCATCTTCTTGAGTTTCTTCAAGGAAAAGGTATGGCCAGGGCTGGAGATATGGCTCAGCAGTTAAGAACATTGGTTCTTTTGCAGAGGTCCAGAGCTCAGGTGCCAGCACCCACAACTACCTAGAACTCCAGCTCCAGGGGATCTGATCTCTCCTGGCCTATGGGTACCAGCACTGAACATACCCATACCCATTCCATTTCCCCCACACATACACATAATTAAAAATAAAATGAGTCCTTTTTTTTTTTTTTTAATTGACAGGCCCTGTCCGGGGTAATTGTTGGAAAGTGGGAGACATTGAATGGCCTATGGAAATAAGGTTACCACTGTGTTTGAGAGGTTGAACATCAAGCCTGGGGAGGCCGTATGCAACCCCCTAATAGTGGGACACAAATACAGTTGAGACATTTGCTGTTCTTGTTCATCCAAAAGGTCTGGAAGGCTTGCAGAATCATAGATCCTGAGGTAATAGGGTCTGGGTGAATCTGAACATCCACCCAAGTTCTTTATTGCTGCTCTCCTCTTTGAGAACTGTATCTAGCACCTTCAGCTGGCAGCGGCTCCTGGGTTTCCACAGTGGGTCCCTTGGGATCCCAGAGGAGGCTCTGTATGTAAATTGGGAAGCGCAGGTGTTTGAGGGAGGGACTCCAGGGCTGTGATTGAGGAGGTCTCAAGTCCTCTCTCTCTGTAAAATGCAAAGAGCTGGCTATGCATTGACCTATGCCACAGGGAGGCAGGAAAAGTCGAGGGACAGCCCAGCAGGCCTGGCCCGGCCTGCCATCTTCAGCTCTCTGATGCTGGAAGGATTTCATGATTCAACCAGGTTCCTCTGCTAAAAGAAATATGAGAACACTGCCCCTGATGTTAGACCTCCCAACCACATCTGCAACCATTCCATGGTCACCTGCTGGCAAATAAGTCTGTCTATGTCTGGTCCCCAGCTGAGGTCTTTCAAGGACTTCAAATGCGATGCTTATCCCAGCATGCTCAGTGGCAGGAGCAGACAGGGTGTGTACCTGATGTTCAGTCAGTCCTTGGAGTGAATGGTGGGTAGTCTGGCCTATGGCCCCTCTGAACATTTCCCTGGCTGCCCAGCCTCTCCATGGCATTTGTCCCAGTGCTAGAGCATCAAGGAGCCCTGTGTCTCCACCTGGTTCACTCCATTTCAAAAGAGACTAGTAATTCCTATTTGAATTTGAGATTCCCACAACCTTATATGGCTCATGATGGCATGTGGTGGCCATCACAGCACAGGATGGCACAGTCCTACCTAGCCTAGGAGGTTCCCAACTCTGAGAGAGGAATTAGCATGGGTGATGTGATACTGAGGCTTATCCTGAACATGAGTACCAGCTGGGCTGGGCCCCCTATTCCTGTGATGTTCCTGGTGTGAATCACTGGCTCATAGGTCACCTGCTGTGTCCTGAGGATTGAAGGTCACAAGTGAGGCCAGCAGATTCTCTTTAGGGACCTCTGCTTGTTATCACCTGCCAAGTCCTGTCTCTCTATTGGCAGCATCATGGGCCACGCCCTCCCCTGGCCTGGCTGAGTGCGTGACGAGGCTGTGCTGTATCTGTTACAGGCTTCCCTTATTCCAAACCTGACACTCTCCCAGGAACCAGGAAGGATGGCCTGGACCTCCGGGTAGGTACTTGGACCCTCCCTACCTGTGGGGCACTAACCATCACTTGCTGCCTACCTGCACTGGTTCCCATAGCTTTGTGACCTTACAGCCAGAAGAGGCGGCAATCCTGCTTGCCCACCTGCCTCTGCCTGATGCTCTGCCCCAGAAGCTGCTGCTGTAGCCTTTTCCATGTCACCAATGACAAGGCCGCCGCACTAGCCATACTCTGGCTCCTCTCTGCTGTGCCCCAGAATCCAAAGAGTCCCCAGTGTGTAAGGCAGGAGAGATGTTGTCACCCAGAGATTGGGGCTGCTTTGAGAGGCTCTTCAGGCCTACCTCCTTCCCCGTGGCTAGAGCCAGCCAAGTCTAAAATGTTCCCATGTCCGTGGAGCCATATCCACCCATGCCACTATCACGTGATCTGTGGTCCCTGAGAATGTGCCCTTATCCCCTTCACCATCTTAAGACACATGAATGCAAGTGCAATTGGCCGTCAGCCTGACTCCCCAAAGAGAGGCTGGCTTGTGCCCTGGTCCAGTGCCCTTTATGAGGAGCCTATAGCCATGCTGGCCCTCAGTGAAGATCTCTAGGCTAAGGTGTCCTAATGATCCAGAACCCCCAAGTCTAATGTAAGCATACAACCCCAGGAAAACCTCCAGCACCTCGGAAAACTTTCCCAGTGTCAGAAAGTTTGTATATAAATCAAGACAATTTACTTCTCAAAAGAATGAAATGAGAAGGGTCTGTGCGTGTGGGGTGTGTGTGTGTGTGTGTGTGTGTGTGTGTGTGTTGGTGGAATGGTCTTATCCAAGTGGGAACTCAGCACCAACTGTCTGGATTATTTTTCTCTCTGTGGGACACTCCTACGACCAAGGAGGCATCTCCAGGGCCTTCAGGCATCCTTTGGGACTAGCCATTGTCTTCACCACTTCCTCAGGCTCTGATTTACCAGTGATTTTATGTAGGATTCAGCTTCAAGGTATCCCCATATAGGCACCTCTGCATGGATGGAATATAGAGGATTCGCTTTCCCTCCCATTAACCTTTCTTCCTGCTCTGGAATGGACCTTGCACGTTGCATGCTTCTTTGAGTTTTTTCCAATGGAATGTGTCTTCCATAGGGAGAGCAAAGGGGAAAGAAACAGGATTCCGCTAATGCCAAATGTTAAAACTTCTACTTAGTGTTGGAGGATCAAGGGGCTGTGGGAACCCTGTTGGTCTCTCTAGAAGGCTCTCTTTTTACCTGGAATAGTTGCTGTCTAGGTAAGGAGCCCATAGGTACCAGTGTGCCGGCTCGACCTAGCTAATATTTCTGCCCCACATTCAAATCAGGTCCTGGGAGTTTGCTTGGTGAATAAGAGAAATGTAAGGGCACTGGGCTGTCTGCATGCCCAGCCTGTGTCAGTGAGCCCTCCATGAGGACACCTAGAAGGTAATCCCCTGGGAAAGCCTCAGCTTGACTGTTGGCAAGCATCCATGTCTGTAAAGGTCATGGTCTCCACCAGCTTTTCCTAGTCCAGTTGAGAATAGGTGATCCGGACCCAGATGGGTCCATTTTCCTTCTAGAACTATTATGAGCATCATCATAAGTCTCTGTGGGACTGATAGGCATATCTTATGTGAACCCAGGAGGGGAGAGTGAGCTGTCTGAAGTGCCTTGGGCTTCAGAGCTGCCAAAGATGGAGTCAGTCTATCCTCACAAGGGAAGTTCTGACTTTCCTCTTGCCTCTTGCCCCCTGCCATGCTCCTTCCCATTCTCACTCCCACCAATACTCGTGTATACTTCCATGCCTCCCCAGCAGAAGGCTGGTTAGCCAGTTAATCTGAGCAGCCCTTTACAGACACGCTCAGCAGTTCAAATCTGCTCTTATCTCTAGGTTCCTGCAGGTACTTGCCCACAAACCCTTGCCAGTGACCTGCAGTGCCTCACTGGGTACATTGCTACCATGAAGGAGTCTTGGGTAGGGGGAGATTGTCTAAGTCAAAGCTCAGATTCAATGAGACCTTTTGGAATTTTTTCAAAAGAGAAAGAGGCCTCAGGACAATGTTCTAGCAAAAACAAACAAATAAAGATGCTGTATGAGAAAAGCTACCGAAGCATCAAACAAATGTCCTGATAGTGAAGGGTAGATAGTCATGATCATGACCATTTTATAGTTTCCCTCATCTGAAAGGGCAGAAGTTGTCCTGAATCTTGGTCCAAGAGGAGTTTGTCACAAGGATCTAATGACCCCTAGCATCGTACATGCCAAAGGTCATGAGAATGTCTTGGTACCTATACCTACCACAGGAGGACGATGGTCATAGGCTAGCTGACTAGCAACCACCTGATGCAGGTCGCCCTGTGAGTGCGGCAGCAGTGATTGACATGTGTCACCTGTCCTAAGAGAACAGTGACTGGCCACCTGAAGGGTTTTGTGATTGCTCTCTGGAAGAAGTCTCACTTGGAGAAATGCTGGTGTTACCTGTGAACAGACTGAATTCCAGCATTAAAAACAAAAACAAACAAACAAAACAAAAACAGACCATCAGATTGGGTTAAAAAAATAGCATTTTCATATTGTGTTATTACAAGATATACTCTGAAAACATTTTCTTAAACAATTAGAAATAAGAAGAAAGAGAATCTAAAATCACAAACCAGAGGCAGGAATAGTGACTTTATGACAGTGAAATTAAATTTCAAATAAATAACACAGGGAAAGGGATCAGGAATGCAGAGTGCCAGTGTCCTGGGCTTTAATGAAATAGTAAGAGAACTCAGAAACTTAAATGCACCAACACAGCAATCACTGCTTATGGAGGTGCCTCACATGTTCTTGAAATCAAACCTAGTAAATAAGTAAATAGGAGTCTACAAAAGTAGACCAAAACTACAAAGTAATTTACTCACAAGCTTAACTCAATAAATGCAAAAATGTACACCTTTTGAATCCAGTTCTCATGTGTTCATAAAACTCCAAAAGTGTTTGTCAGCTAAGCATGGTGACATGCTTAATCCTAGCCCTTGGCAAGCAGAGGCAGGCAGTGGGTTCAAGGACAGCCTGATCTATATAGAAAATTCCAGGACAGCCTAGGCTACATAGTGAGACCCTGTCTCAAAATAAATGTAAATTTATATTTTTAAAGTGTTTATGTCAGGAGGCAGAGACAAGAGGACCAGGAGTTTAAGGCCAGCCTCAGCTACATAATGAGTTCAAGGCTAACCTGGGCTTCCCTAAGACCTGTCTCTGAAAGAGGCATGGGGGAGGGGCGGGTATATCTGTGACTATAGATCTTCATCTATGATCCTGGAAAGAGCATGTGTTTGAATTAGATAGCCTTGAATTCACAACCATCTTGAGGCAAATTATATAACTTCCATAGTCTTTATTTCCTAGATCTAATGAGGGTAGGGGAACGTGATTCCTATATCTGACTGATAATGAGAACAGATATGGCTCTGAGATCTTTTCCTTGAGCTCTGGAGCATGATTTCCACTTGAGTCATGACTTCAAAAGCAAGCCCTGCCTTCCCTCTTTCACACCAGTGTCTGCTGAGTGAGGCAACTCATTCCTATGTGGCTTTAGCAGGAAAATCACAGCAGCCAGTGTGGGCAGCCATGATCTCATTCCTACTAGCAACCATCTTGGTTGCTGTAATCTTGGGAAAGCAAAGCACACGGGTTCAAACTCCTTACAGTCCTGTGAATTTTCTGTGTGAATTTAGCAAGATGCTTGACCTCTCTGGGCCTTGTCTGTAAAACCTGAGGGTTCTTCCCACTTTGTGGGGTGCAGCAAGGTTGGAGAATGTGTCAGGGGAGCTGATAAGTGCCCAGATAGGGAAGACAAATAACACGTCATCTTTAAAAATTCTGGTACCTCGTTGAGAACTGCAAAGGAGATAGCCAGGGTGGGGCCAGGCAGTGCAGCTGTGGGCTGGTTCTCACCCCTCAGCTCTGCTGCTCGTCCACACATACAGGTTAGCCCAAGACTTGCTTGCACTGAGTGGTCTGTAGAGCCACATGGATCATAGGCCCCACTCTTCCTGTTTTAGATCTGTTCCTCCATTTGGAGGGTGGCCCACTTCCCATCTCTCTTTCCTCAGACTTAGAAGCTGGAGGAGGTTTGGTTTGCTTGGAGTTGTTGGCCTGGGTGATTGACTGATTGTGATACAGCATTCCAAACACTAGGTGGTGTCATTTCTCCTTAGCATCGGCCAGTCCTGCCTGCAAAAGCGGGGCAGAGGCAGTATGGCCTCACTTTGCACAAGAGGCTTCCTGATGGATGGGTGTGCCTGAGATGCTGCTTTGAGCTTGAGAAGATGTTCCCCATAGCCGTTTTTGAAAACTTCTAGGGGGTAAATGGTGGAGATGAGAGGTCATGGAGAGTTATTTACTGATGCAAAGATCCCTGGCTAAGGATGCAGGGCTTAGGACCCAGGAGGGCAAACAGGGGGAAACCCTAAGATGGAGTCACTGAAAGACATCGTAAGTTACTAAAGTGGTGTTAGAAACCCAAGTCTGCTGGACTTGGTGGTGCACATTTTTAATTCTAGCACTGGAGAGACAGAGACATGCAGATCTCTATGAGTTTGAGGCCAGTCTTGACTACAGAGCAAGCTCAGGGCCAGCCAAGACATTTCAAAAAGCAAACAAAAAAGAGGGGGTGGAGGTGGGGATGGGGAAGAAATCCAAATCCATGTCCAAAGTTTATGATAAGCCAAATATCAGAAAATTTAAGTAAAGGCCCTTTCCGACCTGCTTTTCACACTCACCCTCTCATCAGCCAGTCACAGCCTGCTGGATCCACTCTGAGGCAGGAGGGAGGTAACAGCTTATTTCTGGGTCTCCCATTTGTCTGTTTCAGATGAAGGCTTTCAGTGTGCGGGCTCTCTCTGCTCCCACATTTTCTGGGGCTTGTAGCCTGCTCCCAGCTTGTCTCCCGCTTGTTGTCTGCTGTAAGGTCCGTCGGAAGCAGCTTTCCTTGTAACCGTATCTGCAGGCGGAGCGCGTGGCACCTCTACATGCCGTGCTCTGCTGAAATGCAATCCCTGGGCCCAGTTTCAAAAACTCTGGCCAACAGCCCTGACCCTGTTTCAGCCTCTGGACTGTGCTGGGGACTGGGGTACGTCAGGCATTCTTCAGGGAGCTCAGCTCACCCCACAATTCTGATGCAGGCAACAGATATGGCAGTAGCAGGAGTCACTCGGGATGGAGATGGTGCAGCCCTATAGGGGCTCAGTGCTCTTGGCGGTGGCAGGGACCCTATAGACAGCTGTAGCTTGTCAGAGTCAAGTGACAGTCAGCTGCCCCCTGTCTACCACCAGCAACAGCTTCTTCAGTATTAATGTCAGAGTAAGGCCACTCTGTCTAGGGTGCTAGGGACTTCTTGAGGCCAGGATCCTTTTGTGAGCCTGGAGCTGTGGCGGTGCCTTTGGTTTCAGGAGAAGGCAGAGGACCCTCTTGTCTTAGAGCTTTGGGGTACAGAGACATTGGCACTCCGGATTGTGTAGCTAGCTAGACACCAGGGAGTCTAGGAATACAGTAGGAGTGAGGCAGTAGCCAGTGACTGCCCCTTTGCCATCTTGTAGGCACGGTTAGACTGAGGTGACTCCTGACTCTACCTAGAGCATGTGGACAGCAGAATGTAGTTGCTTTTCACAAGGAGAAGCAGAGACACCACAGGCTATATCCATCATAGCACGAGTGCAGGAAAGGACACTGAACTGTCCTGTAGGCCATGCCACCAGGCCAGCTACAGAGCAGAACTCAGGCACCTGAGCTCATTTTTAAATGTAGGGGCAAAGCTAATCAGACAGGCAGGGTTTGAAGGCTTCTGAGGTAGGTATGAAAGCCCACAGGTCAGGTATCCTGGACACTCACCTTCCAGAGTACAGCTTTGCCTTCTGTCTGTCAAACAACATCCTTCCCCAGCTGTGTGAAGACCCAGGATGCATCGGGGCTGTCTCCCAGACCCCTACTGCCTGCCCTATGCAACCTGCCTCTTGCCGGCCTCTCTCTCTTTCTCTCTTCCAGAATGCCAACCAGGCCCCCTGTGGAGCAGACCTGGATGCCAGCTGGGGCACGCGAGGTACACACAGTGGGGACCCGTGTGGGTCTCTGGCTAGGCCAGAATCAGTAGCATATGTCTACCAGTCTCATTCTGAGACCACCCCTCCGGGACCTGCTGGCAGAAGGTGCTGCACCATAGACGAAGGGTCCCCGTGGGGGAGGAGGTGCCCGTTGACCCTTCAGCTCTCTCACCCTGCGCTGCAGGGGCCTGCCATGGCTTTGTAGTGCTGTGCATCTCTTGGAGTAGGACACAGAGGCAAAGCAAACAGCTTCCAGGGGCTGCGCTGAACTGTTTGAGCTGAACAGAGTCACACCCCATTTTTGCCCTCATTCATTACGTCTGCTGGCATAATGAGTGCGAGTGGCCAGAAGTTCCAGGGCACCCCAGCGTGCTCTTAAAGTTACCCCAGTCCCTAGCCACCGAGCTGGGAAGACCAAGGGCCTGCCTCATACAGGCCTCTTCCTTCCAGGATGATTTGAGGCCAGGATTCTAGTGGTCCTTCCTGTGTGTGTGTGGAGCCCCTGCCAACCACACCATGTTAGCTTCTGTAGGATGATGGTACCCTAAGTCTAAAGAAAACCTTTGTCAGAAGGAGCAGTGCAGAGCTTGGAGGTTTAAAATAGGCATGATGGAGAGGGGCTGGGCTGGTGGGTGGCAGAGTGCTTGCCTTGCGTAGGAGAACCCTGGGTTTGCTCCCCAGCACCACGTAAAGCACATGGGATGGTGCGTACTGTAATGCCAGCACTTGGTATGGGAAGGCAGGAGATTCCAGAGTTCAAGATCACCTTCAGCTGTATACTAAGTTCAAGGCTAGCCTAAGCTCAGTGAGACCTTGTTTAAAGAGAGAGAGAGAGAGAGAGAGAGAGAGAGAGGAGAAAAGGAAAAGAAGATAGTAGAGGTAGGGGACTGGGGCAGAGGGATGGAAGGATACATATTTGTAAAGATGTCAGACTCCACAACACCCCTTGGAAAGTTTTCCTTGGGGAACCCATTGCAAATCTGGGAAAATTGAAACTGATGTCTTTATTGGAGTATCCCAGAACACCAAGAAAGACAACTCCCATCCTAGGACCACAGTGCCGCTACCCAGCTTCCAGCATGGCCTCCAGCCTCCTGGCCATGCCTCCTGCTTTCAGTTTGCTGTGGGACACCCTCAGTCCCTCCTTGAAATCCAAAACCAGAGCCATATGAAGGCTGCCCAGGGGACCAGAGACAAAGCATGGCCCAGCTGACTAGGGGTGGGGGTTGCCCAGGAAGAGGCTTGCTCCCATCCTGGGCGTGGATTCTTGTGTTCCTAAACCAGCCCCGTGGTCTCTGCTCTTTTCTTACAGAGTACAAGGTAAGGGGCCACCTGTACTAGCTGACCTCTCCCACCGCACTGCACCTGACCAGGTTAAAAGTTCCTTTTTGTTGCATATTCTCTATGAAATGCACGTGTCCGCAGCACAGCCAAGTATGTATCCGGGTTTGCCTTTTGGTCAGCCCAGGGGTACTTGCCTTTCAGGATAACCTTATGGTGTCTTCCCTGCAGATATATCCCTATGACTCCCTCATCGTAACAAACCGAATCCGTGTGAAACTACCCAAAGATGTGGACCGGACGCGGCTGGAGGTAAGGCAAGAAGTAGGGTGGTGTCTGCGGAGACTCTGCAGACCTCAGCCACAAGGTCAAGTATACACACACACACACACACACACACACAGACACACACACACACACACACACACACACACAAATGTGCATGCACACACCAGGAGGGAGTGCCACTGTGCTGACAGTGAGGGGCTCAGAACCAGGGATCCAGGAATCCTCAGAGGCCGAGGAACATGGTCACAGACCCAACTATGCCGGCTTTGCCACGGGGACCTGACTTGTGGGTAGCGTGGTGCACTAAGGGGCCCATCGTGGTCCCATCCCGGGTGCTGCTGTGAAAGGGTGGGCCAGCTTGAAGGAAAAGCTTCTGTTGACCGAGAACAGGGGGGAGTCTACCCGAGGAAGACAAGTGTATGCCATGCAGCTGCTGTCAGCTGGTGCCTTCTGTCCAGGAGAACACACCTGGTTAAGCACTCACTCCATGTCAAGGCTAAAGTGCCCTATGCCATGCCTCGCTGTTCCTTCAAAACCACGCAACAGTCAGCAACACCAGTGGGGGGATTCCCCTCTTGAGCCTCTCCCATAGATGCTACCTTCCCGAGCCTCTTGCTGCAGTGAGGGCACCTCCAAGCTCGTGAGGCAGAGGCTGCCTCCTGCCTGTGTCCCTTGCAAGCACAAGACCCTGTCTGACCTTCTCATGAGGCAGTGGCTTCATGTGTGGCCAGGAAAAGGAGCAAGAGAAATAGATAATAGTCAACGGATCGGGCTTTGGATGGTTGGCAAAGCAGAGACTCATGTAGATTCACAAAGAGGTAGCCTCTGAAGTGGGACATACGGGCCAGTCAGGGCTTTCCCAGACAACAGAGCAGGACAGTGTGAGTGAAGCATCTATTCAGAGCCTGTGAGGTGTGACCCTGGCAGGGACGGCAGGGTACTGACTCTCCTGGGCTGGCAAGTCATGCACACTTGAACCTTCATCTCTACTTAGGATGAGAACCAAGAGCTGCTTGAGAGAATCATTGTGCAGTCAGAGCTCATATGGAGGCCTTTTTCCAGGGCCTGGAAAACAGTAGTCCCTCTGCACAGGGAGATGACAGCAGGAAGGACATGAGGCAGCCATGGTTGCTGCATGGGGAGGTCTCACTCCTTAGAGTACTAGTGACTTCCCCTGGAAATCAATGGGTTCACATGACTGGAGGGCCCCTTTGGGTATGGCTGGATCAGGGACTGCACAGTATTTCACATTCCCAGTGACTGAGTTTCCTCTATACTGGTTTGAGGGAGACACTGGCCACCCATCCAGAGCTCAAAGTCTCTGGGGGAGAGAGCCATCATTCTTATCTGTCCTCATGCAATCCACACTGAGCCTCTGGGTGGTCATGTCCCACCCATTCCAGAATCGACCAGTTTTACCCAAAGCATATAATGTTCTGAGCTCACCTGGAGTTAAGGGGTGGGGGTGGGGCGCTGGTGCCACCTGAGCTGGAGAGGTCCAGGTCATTCCTGGCAGAAACTGAGACCTGCTACCTGAGATGGAAAGAGGGCTGCTGGGCAACAGGCAGTTGACAAGTGTCCACCACAGGGAGAGTCAGGGAGGGGACAGTACAGCCTAGCAGAGCACAGCAAGATCTCAAATGAGGAGTCAATTCAGTCAGTCCATATGGTGCATTCCTGTTGCACCAGCCAAGGATTCACAGAGCCAAAAGCTCTGGTTAGCAGGATGCTTGGAGCTCACTGCAGATGAGGAAAGGCCGCTGAAGCACTCTTGTGTGTTTTGATGTGTGTATCATCTGTGGGAAGGGCAAGAAAGTTGGCTGGCCAGGAAGCTGTGTTCGATTAACAGGGTAGGGGGAGGCTGGAGGCCACTTAGGGGCAGGGCTCTGCCGAGGTCTTGGAGTCTTCTGGACCTCAGGAGTCCCTTGCCTGAGTGTTGAATGTGACATTGGGCTTCTCCACAGGCGGTAGCAGCATCAGTGGCCCGTAGCTGGGTGTCCTGGGCTCTGGCTGAACCGGGCTTGTAAATGGTGGGCTTGTGGCCAAGAGCACCCTTTATTCCTGCCGTATAGAGGGGGCGCTGCAAGATCAATTACAATATGGAGATGAATTGCCAAAAACGCCTGTCTTTAAATAGCTTTTCTCATATATTTTCTCACAGCTATGAAGACTGACACACAGACCTTAGAAACATGCATTTGTATGCAGCCACGCAAACACGCATACATAAGCTCTTGTGTGCAGGGTCGTAACACATGCCAAGGCGAATTTACAGAGGAGAGCTTCACAAATCATTGGCACTTCTGCAATGGGGTTGGGGGAGTGACTTGGGAGGCTGAGCTCTGTGGCAGGCTCACTCCCTCTCCATTGGTTTTTACAACCTTCGGTCCCTTGACTGAGGCCCACTCACATTTTCTAAGATAAACATCTTCTCATAGACAGCTATTGATGATAGCTGTGCCCACAAAACACCTTTGTGACAGCAAATAACCAATGTTTGGCCAAAGCTCCAGCCCTGGGGCTTGGAAGCATTGATATATCCAATGTATATCAAGAAAGGAGGGTGAGGTGCTGGAGAGGCACCTGCCTTTAAGAGGCTATGTGGCCATCACTCAAAGTTTGATGGCTTTTGGTTTGGGGCTCTGAGTTCTTCCTGGTGGGGGCGGCCAGGTCCTGCTGACGGGGCAGAGGCTGCTGTAGAGGGCCTGTGATTTCCCTGGTGGTCCTCACATGTCCCGAGGCTGCGCGTTTGCAGGTTCGGTAAACCCAAGGGAACTGCACCTAGGAAGTGAGGAACCCGAGATTCAAATGCTCTTTCTCTGCGCAAACTTGTGTAGCCAGTATGATGAAGACAGAGCATCCTGGCTCCTGATGACCAAGGATGACTATGAGAGGTTTAGACTCCCCCTTCCCTCCCCTGCCACCTGGCCCTTCCTGATCCAGGTAGAGAAGTGCTTGAGTGCTGTGTGGTCGAAGGACCCATCAAACTAGGGAGGGGTCTCATGGATGCCAGCTGGCAGGAAGCTCTCTGTGGAGCTGCAGTGGGCAGAAACAGGTGGCAGAAGGAGATCTAGATAACGACAGCCACATACGTCCTCCCTGAGGAAGGAAGGGAGGACACCAGGAGCAGAGAACTTCTGCCCTTCTGGAGCTGAGAGTCATCCAGGTTAGCTGGAGTTCCGCGTAAAGGACTTGGTGTGGCCTTGGGGACCCTCTTGGGTAACACAACCCAGGCAGTCTCACCTCTGGGAGAGGTAACATTCAAATCAGGACCTATAGAATTAGATGTTGCTGGTGACACAGGTGGGAAGGATGTCCCCCAGGAGAGGGACTGGCTCGCTCTCTGGAAAGGTACCGTGCTGGGCTTCCTTCCTATGGCTGTGGAAGTTTGGTGGTCTTGGCCTTGGCTGGCACCTGATGAGCCAGGAGCCAGGGGGTAGCTGAGCTCAAATAGCTATGTGAGCCTCTGTGGTCAGCTTTTCTCCATAGTTCTTCCTGCTGGGAAGGGCACCTGGATATCAGATGCCCTTCCTACCAGGAGACACTCACAGATCCTCTACCAGCCAATGGCTCCTCTGACTCTTGCTCACTCTCTGGAACTAAACAGAACTTGGACGGCCAAGTCCTGTCCCTCTACACAACAAACAAATCCATCAGGAGCTGGGCATGTGGTGGGGCTGGGGGCCACTGGCCTCAGGTCTTTCCCTGCCAGTAATCCTGCCGCCCCCGCCACCTCAACCAATACACCCTCTCAATACCAGCCATTACATGTGTGCCCCTTTCATAGTTTCATTCACAGTCTCAATCCTGGGCTGTGCAGGGACCATCACACAGGATATTATGGGCGTTTGGAGCCAGCCTGGACTACATAGTAAGCTCAAGGATTGCTCAGCGAGACCTTATCTCAAACAGCAACCAGCAAAACTGGGGACAATGCCTCAAGCCACTCCCCAGTGCTTTCATCTCTAGTGGTCCCGTTCAGCTGGTCTCATCTCATCCCACCAGGCACCCTCTCCTGGCTCTCCGTGTCTAGAGTCAGTCTTTGTCTTATAGGCTGAGATCTCCTTAGCCCAGGCTGGCCTTGAACTTGCTATATGGCCAAGGCTGGTTTCAAACTCCTGAGTTCTTCCTGGAGGTCCCAGGGCCTGCTGTTGGGGAAGAAGCTGTTGTAGGCTGTCTCAGCCTACCAAATGCCCATGTGTGCCCCCACATCCAGCTCTCATCTGTTTGTTTTGTTTTGTTTTGTTTTGTTTTTCTTGATCATTACAACAACCTTTAATTTAGTGTCATTGCTTTAAAGTTGTGGAAACTTTGCCAATATTTTTTTTTATCTATTCGCTTTCTATCCTGATTGTAGCCCCCTCCTTCCTCTCCTCCATGTCCCACCTCCCCTTCCTCTTTCTCTCCCCCCCTCCCCAACTCCTCAGAAAAGGGAGCCCCCCCCCCACCAACCCACCCAAGTACATCAAACTACATCAGGACTGAGTGCATCCTCTTCCCCTGTGGCCTGGTGAGGCAGCCCTACCAGGAGGAAGTGGTCAAAAAGCAGGCAACAAAGCCCGTCAGAGATAATTCCTGCTCCCCTTACTGGGATACCCACATGAAGACCAAGGTGCACATTGGTTACATCTGTGTGGGGCCTAGGTCCAGTCCATGCATGGTCCTTGGTTGGTGTTTTTTTCAGTCTCCATAAGCCCCTCTGGGCCCTTGTTAATCAGCTCAGTTGGTCTTCTTGTGGAGCTCCTGTCACCTCCAGGTTTTTCTGTCCTTCCTCCCACTCTTCCACAAGACTGCCAATGTTTGGCTGTGAGTCTCAGCATCTGTTTCAATCCACTGCTGGGTAGAGCTTTTCAGAGGCTCTCAAAGTTCCTGTCTGGGAGCGTAGCAGAGTATCGTTATTAGTGTCAGGGGTTGGTTCTCTCCCATGAGGTGGGTCTCAGGTTGGGCCAGGCATTGGTTGGGCATTCCCTCAATCTCTGCTCTGTCTTTATCCCTGCACGTCTTGTAGGCAGGCTATATATTTTGGGTCGAAGTTTTCATGGGTGGGTTGGTGTTCTCCTTCCTCCCTTGGGAGTCGTGTCTAAATAGAGGGTGTACTCTTCAGTCCCCATGACCCTTGCTACTAGGAGTCTCAGCTAGAGTCACCCCCATATCCTCCCAGAATCCTATCCTGTTGTAGGTCTCCAGCTTGTCACAGAGATGCCCCACCCATGGTTTCTCTTTTCTCTTCCAGCCCTCTGTTCTCCTGTCCCATCCCTCCCCAAGTCTGATCTCCACCCTCATTTCTCTGTGATCCCTCTCCTACCTTATTCCCTCTCTTCAACCGCTTCTGCTGTCTATCCTATTTCCTCTTCTGGGTGAGATTTAAACATCCTCTTTTGGGTCCTTCTTGTTACTTACTTTCTTTAGGTCTGTATATTGTATGTTTATCCTGTACTATATGGTTAATATCCACTTATAAGTGAGTACATACCATGTGTGTCTTTCTGGTTCTGGGTTGCCCCACTAAGGATGATCTTTTTTTAGTTCCACCCATTTGCTTGCAAATTTCATGGTTTCCTTGCTTTTAATAGCTGAGTAGTATTCCACTGTGTAAATGTGCCACAGTTTCTTTACACTTGTGGACAGTATCTTTTAATTGTGGTAAAATTCACTGTTTTTACCAATTTTGAAGTGTGCAGCTCATGTATCTGCACTTTTTCAGTCTCACAACCATCATCACTGTCTGGGTCCAAAACATTTTCATCACCTGGAAAGGAAACCCCACACCCTTCTTCAGTCACATTACTCCCCTACCCCACTGCCACAACACACCATCCCATCCCCACCCCTGGCGATTCTGATCTGCTCTATCCCTTCAAGGCCTTCTCTGGACATTATCATCAGTGGAGTCTTGCAGTGTGTCATATATTTGCCTCTTTCAACTTGGCCTGCTGTTTTTGAGGCCTAGAGTTTCATGCAGTTTGGGATTGAGTGATGCTGCAACGCATCTTGTTTTCCTACTGTCCATCAGCAGGCTTGTTTCTGCCTTTGGCCCCTGGGAAGAATGCAGTGAAGGTGGGCACTTGGGTATCTGTGGGAGTCCCTTTCTGTTCCGCGTGTCTGCTTGGGGCAGGAAAGCTGTCATCCCTCACTCTGTTACCTTCTGTTACCTTGTTGAGAACCTGCCTACCTCTTTCCCACACAGCAGTCAAGATGCCCTGCTTGGGCAGGAGGTGGCAAGATATTGTCCCAGCCAGGCCTACCCTCTCTGCCTTCCTGCTACCTCATCCCATCCCCAGCTTCCCTCCCGTCTGTCTGGTGAGCTGAGGGGAAGAGAGACCTGGGAGAGCATCTGAGGTCATTTGTGTGTGCATCAAGGGATGAGAAGTGGTTTCTTTTCTTTTCCTCTATTTTCTTAGAAGGGCATGTGGGTAGTGAAACAGGGTCTCAACCCAGACTGGCCTTGAACTAGAGGATGGCATGGAACCCCTGATCTTCCTGCCTGTATTTCCCGAGTACTACGATTACAGGTGTGCACCACCAAACCTGGCTGAGAAGCTACTCCTCAGAGCTGTTGTGTGAGGCAGAGGTGAGAGTAACAGGCCAGCCATGCTCAAAGGACAGGTTACATTATAATGCAATAGCAAGAGATCTATCAGGACTGTTCTTGCTATCCCAGGCAACCATGAACAAGGCCAGGATCCGTATCAATATTAACAGCTGGGCCCAATACTAAATGCTGACTGGCACTGACTCCATGAATCTGTGCCCAAAGCTTCAGGAGGGGGCCCTTGGTACAGATGTTCAGACGGCCTCTCAGCAATCAGCTCAGTCATTCAGCCCCACCCACAGAGGTGCTGGTGCTCATACTCTTGACCACCCCAACTCAGGAGCTGGCCTCAGGGACTCAGAATGACTTGCTTGGGATCAGATGGCAGAGCCAAGGGGAGGGAGGTTTTGTGTCATGGCCTGGGCCTGGCTTGGCTTCTTTGCAGCATGGCCACCTGTCTTGGGGTTCCTATTGCTGTGATAAACCACCATGTCCAAAGCAACTTGCGAAAGAAGGGTTTATTTGGCTTATGCTTCTATATCACTGTTCATCATGGAAGGAAGCCAGGACAGGAACTCAAGCAGGGCAGGAACCTGGAGGCAGCAGCTGATACAGAGGCCATGGAGGGGTGCTGTTGACTGTTTTGCTCTCCATGGCTTGCTCAGCCTGCTTTCTTATAGGATTCAGGACCTCCAGCCCAGCCATGGCACCGCCCACAGTGGTCTAGGCCCTCCCACATTGATCACTAGTTAAGAAAGTGCCCCCACAGGCTTGCCTACAGGCTCATCTTATGGAGACATTTTTCTGGATTGAGGATCCCTCCTCTCATATGACTCCATCTTGTGTCAAGTTGACATAAAACCATATAGCACACTACCCCTTAGCTTTCTCAGCCTGGAAATGGGAACTGAACACAGTGCTCCTTCTGAGCAGTTGTCACAGTTTTAGTACGTGGTAAACGAGGCAGCTGACCTGAAGAGTCTACAGAAGGCTCCAAGCAGGCAGGAACCTATCGCAGGACACGGTTACTGAACTTAGCCATGAGAGCTTTTGCCAATGGAGTCAGGAGTTGAGGGTGCTGTGGCAGCTCCATACCAGTCTCTGTGCGTTCCTACCAAGACTGTCCTCTTGGGCTTGTTTCTTTCGCTGTAAAGAGGCCCTGGACACGCCAAGGAGGTCGCTCACTCACCCTTAGCAGCTGTCCTGCTTCAGTGGAGAGCCACAGAGAAAAGGCATGTGGCTACAAAGTTGTCAGCAGATTTCTAGGGCAAAAGCCCCAGAGCAACGGAGTCACAGTAGACGGGGCCTAGTTAGTACAGCCATTCAGTGGTGGAATGAGACAAAGGTCAGTTAAGCAGCTGCTTTGGGAGAATGAAAAAACAAGCATCCCAGCTATCTCAGGCACTGACGTGAGAGAGGAAGAATGGGACCATGATGAGAGGGGTGCAGAGTTATTCAGCGTCCTGGTTCAGCGGTGGCCTGGTTGGTCACTGTCTCACTTCTAGTTCTGGGAGGGGTCAGAAATTCTTAATGCTTGAGGGACAAGAAGGTTCCTGTGAGGCAAGGTCCCTGAAGGTTCCTGTTGGGGGTTGGGGAAGAGTGTGAATTCATCATGGGTGTGTACCTGTGAGTCTTTGTTATTTCTGAAACCCAAGGTGACTGCAGGTTGAGAACAAGGACTGGAGACATTCAGGCTCCTTTTCTCTCTGGAACGGGACGCTATAAACACTGACTGAGACGCTTTGCTTTTATCTTTGCATGAGTCATCCTCCAAGGGACAGAGATAAGCTCGGTGTCTGTACATGGCTAAACCTAAGTACAGAGTTAAATAGGACTGGGACCCAAGGGACAGACACAAAATGCAGGCAGAGGTTCTAGGCCTCCGCACCACCGTTAGGACAGGGGACGCAGGAGGAGCCAGTGTTTCTCAGAGCAAAGACAGCGTCTCAGGCCCTGTTTCAAATGCTACTGATTGTCTCCCCCTTTTCCTTGTCTGAAGAGACACCTGTCACCTGAGGAGTTCCAAGAAGTGTTTGGGATGAGCATTGAGGAGTTTGACCGCCTGGCCCTGTGGAAGAGGAATGACCTCAAGAAGAAAGCCTTGCTGTTCTGACAGCCGCCAACATCTTACCAGGAGCCTGTTGTGGGGCAAAGCTGCAGGGCCCCACTGGCTCCCCCAAATCCTCTCCTGTACCTTGCTCTGCTTCTCTGCGCCAGTGGGGCAGGGGGGAGGGTGCCTGCAGGAGGCAGGGTGGGGCCAGGCCCTGAGGAGCATCCAGCAGGCATGGTCCCTTGTGTAGCAAGGATGCTCCCGCCCGTAGTTTAGGGCCAGGTGCCAGCTTGACCCTCTCCTTCGCGCCACAACTTGGCATCAGGGCAGTGCTGCGGCCAGCTATCATAGGAGATGGGGCAGAGCATTCGGCAAGCCCAGCACCTTTCCAGCACCTTCCCAGCACCTGGTGTGCCCACAGCTGTGCTAGGATTTGGGGCACAGAGCTGGGAGGAGGGTGAGAGGCTTGACACAGCAGGAATGGTAAGTGTGAGGCTCCTCAGAACATGAACAGTATGCAGGCAGGCTGGCATGCTGAGGCAGGGGAGCCAGGGCGATGTCTGAGAGGCAGTGGGACTGTGTTTCTTGCAGTTATTGTGACAGATCTTTTCTGGGGAATGAATGTCGGCCTGACAGGGTGCCCCCGAACAGTGCTCTGTGTACTGTGCCCTTCTTCCAAATCACCCCCTTAGTTGCCTAAATGATATCTTTCAACTTACACAGAAGTTTTTATTTTATTAAAAAGTATCGCTTCCTTACACATAAGAAGACATATATGCAGAGTTTAGTTTCACGGTCCCTCAGAAGGGGAGCGCCTCCGCCTTACACCCTCACCATGCAGGCCTCTGTGCTTCCAGTCCTTGGCGTTCCTCAGAGACAGGAGCCCATCTGTTTCCCTTTGTCCCTGCTCCTCTGTATGTGTCACACAGACAGCCCCAAAGACAGACTCGCTCAGTAGTGCGGTTTGTAAATACATGTGAAATGTATCTGTCTCCTTTTAACTCACGGTCATTTTCCCAAGTCTCAAAAAGAAGTGCACCCCTGGTGGCCAAAGTCCTGGAATAAAGGTTTCCTCATCGTGGCCATGTCTCACACGAACTTACCTGACCAGTCTTCCTGATAAAGACACCAACTGTAGCCCCCACAACTCAAAATGTGCATGCTCAGGAACCATGCTGTCACACAGAGCCCTGACACAGGCACTGAATGTGGAGGGAGAGTTGGAGGACTAGTGATGGTGCCTCTTCCGACCTGGGTGTCCAGAAGTGGGGGCTAACAGGGACCCTGGGGACGGGTGCAAAAGAGCGCCTCGGCTGCAGGACACATGGACACTGTGGTCCTGGGTGACTCTAGCCGTCCTCTCCTCTGGGTTGTCCTTCTCAGTTTCTCACATCCCAGGACATGCTGAGTCTCGTTTTGTGCTGGTTCTCACCAGCCTGGCTGGGCCGTGGAGGGGAACTTTTGGTACTTAATCTGCTTCCTGTCACTTAGCAGTCTGGACCTGTGCAACTGGAAACCCCCACCTCCTCACTCATGAGGTGTCATGTCATATCTGCTCCCCGGAACACCTGGGAAAATAAACGGTGACACACTGTAACTTGTGAAAGGACAAAATGTGTTCAAGCATGCTTGGTTCAGGAGGCACGGGCAGGGTGTGCGCTTGGAGCAGGCCAGGACACCCTCCAGGGGAGGCACTCTTGCCTCATCCAGAGGTGGAACCTTGGCTTGGTCAACATTAGGGAGCCAGCGTAATGCCAAAGGCTGGCATCTGCCTTCCCTGGGCAGGTTGAGGGGCTAGCTGTTGCTCTGTGGTAAAAGTCTAAAGGGGTCCCCAATGCACCCCTAGATGCCAGGGCATGCCTTCTAGAGAAGGTGCTCAGGCTCGGTCTTGAAAGATGGAGGGTCTCTTCGACATGACACGGGAGGCAGATGGAACAGTGAGGCAGGGTGCTGAGGCTGCGAACACCCTCATATATTCTGGAAGCTCTGCTGTCTGGAAATGGCTGAGCATCAGGGTGGGGAAAGGGCTGAAAAGAAAGAAAAGGACCCCAGTGGGGATCTTCAGGGGAGGACTAGCATCATCCAGGGTTAAACACGTGACAATCTGTAATCTTGTACCAATATCTGACAGTTCTGTTGAACTCAGTGTTTTCTCCCAAAGCCTACCTGGTACATGCCCTGTGCCTGCTGTGTAGGCAGCGCCACAGTCTACTGCTACCCAAGCAAGAAGCTGGTGTATTCTCCGTTCTTTCCCTTTGTGAGTCTTCACAGTTCCACCCTCCAAGTATCATCTGTGTCTCTCCTTGGCCACTGCTATCACCGGATAAATCAAGGACTGAAGGTGGTGGTGGGATAGAACCCCGGGTGCTGGTGCAAGCCTTTCTATCTTAGGAATTGTGATCCAGCCCACACTCACTGCTCACAAGTCACTTCCAAAGTGCCCTATCGACCCCACAGCCAAGAGCAAAACTCCTGAACTGCAATCCAGTTGTACCAAGCTGCTAGCAGCAGCCATGGCCCCAGCCTCATTGTTCCTGGTCATTCCTGTCCCTACTAGGAAACTGAATGTCACAACACCTATTCTGCCCTTCCTGCACAATCAGGGCAGCATAATCTTGGCTTGCACACTGGTTTCCCTCCCAGGTGAGCCCTGTCCTTCCTTCTCAGGTCCTCTCAGAAATGGCTCCCACATGGCTTGTGGAAACTGATATTAGACTCTCAAAGGCTTATCTACCCCAGCTAGTTCTCAAATAATCAAGACAGAGAACTTTTAGATTAATAAAAGCTTTAAGGTACCATAACTGGGCAGATATCAATCCTCTAAGCTAACTTTCTTTTTCCCAGCTACACAGTCCAAAGGTACTTGCCGTCATTGTCCCTGCCTGGGTTGCTTCTGTTCCATCAGGCCAGTCTTCATGGCCATGTGTTCATGGTCCTTAACTCCCCATGGCAATTCCTTTCTCTCCAGTTACCTCTCCTCTTCTCTCTGCTGCCTCATGGTCCCCACCTGATCTCAAGCCCAGGAACCTAAGCTCTGCCTACTTCTCTTCTGCCCAGTTACAGGCTTCTAGCTATTTTATTAACCAATTAACTTTAAATCAGGTAGAACGAAGTTTACAAAACAAAGACCTATGTGAGGATGTACTCATGTACCCGATCTTGGGAGTCAGTAATTTAACATTTGAATGCAAGCACTAGACCAAACCCCAGTAGACATGGCTGTCTGCTGAAAGTACCCAGCCTGCACCAGATTTCTCATATCCTGTGTGTTCCATAGTCTGGTGTGTGTGTGTGTGTGTGTGTGTGTGTGTGTGTGTGTGTGTGTATGTGTGTGTATGCACAGGTGCATTTGATTGTGGAGACCAGAGGTTGACATTGGGTATCTACCTTGGTTACTCTCTACCTTATTTTTAAAAATTGTATTTGTTGTCACACCTCAGTTTTACACACATACACAAACACACACACATTTATATAATATGTTCCTTGTTGTTCTCTCATGTCTTTCCCTTCTGCCAAATGTCTAGGTTCCCTTACTGAAGCCCCTGTCCTAATTTCAAGTCTTTTTTTAATATAAATTGTTGTGCATGTGTTGTGGGCGGTACACATGCTACAGTGCATGCGTAGAGATCAAAGACAACTTGGGGGAGTTGTCTCCTTCTAACATGGGGTCGCTGAGATTGAACTCAGGTCACTGGGCTCGGTGGCAAGTGCTCCTACCAGTTGAACCATCTTTCTGGCTCTTCTTGAAGTCTCTTTGTGTGTGCTCCCTACTGCATTTAGTTAATGCTGCTTGTGCTGCCCTCTGTATTGATGAGAGAGAAAGAGAGAGGGAGAGGGAGAGGGAGAGAGAGTTTATTTACTTGAGGGAGAGCAACTTGCCAATGGCTGCACCACTGAGAAATATGACCATCCCCCTAGAAACTATTAACCCCCTCTAGCTACTCAGGGAGGGGTGGGGCATTGAGAACACCTCCCATATCCATGCTGGGATGCTGATCAACTCAGACTTCTGTAAATCTCAAGCAGCCGGTGCCGCCAGGAGCCTGTGGGTGCAGCAGCCATAACACGTCTAGAAGGCAGTATTTCTTAGCACTCCTTCCCATCCTATCGATGGCTCTTACATTCTTTCTCATCTCTCCTCCACAGTGCTCCCGGAGCCTTAGAGGAAGTGATGCTGCTGTCTCCTTTATGGCTGAGTACTCAGCAGTCACTTATTCTTAGTACTTCAAAGATCTTCTCTGACACAGGCTGAGGGAGGCATTAATCCGTGGGTATAAACACAACAACTGGGGAGGCAGCTGGACACCAGGCCCGTTTCACAGAGGTTCTCTTAGAGCCCATGACCAACCCAGCCACGGGCTCCTGACCAGGTTTACAGTACCAGGCCTGAGTTTTCCACCTTATTTTTTGATGCAGGATATCTCACTAGGATCTGGGCTCACTGCTTAGGCTACAAGAGTAGTCATGAGCATTGGGGATCCTCCTGTTTCTGCCTCCCCGGTGCTGAGGTTAGCATATTGCCACCCCTGGATCATCTCATTTATCTATCTATCTATCTATCTATCTATCTATCTATCTATCTATCTATCTATCTATCTATCTATCTATCATCTATCTATCTATCTATCTATCATCTATCTATCATCTATCTATCTATCTATCTATCTATCTATCTAGCTAGCTATCTATCTATCTATTTATCTATCATCTATCTATATATCTACTTTGTGAGTGCTAAGGATAAAATATAGGCACTCATTTTTTTGCAAAGGAAGCAAGCACATTTTGAAGCTTCTGCCCCCTGGAGGCTCTTCATCAGTCCACTGACTGCATCCCCATGCCTGCAACGGCAGACATGTGCATCACCAGCCTGACGTGCACAACTGGCCTAGAGCAGTTTGTGGTTTGTTGAGACAGGGTTTTTCTTTGTAGTCCAGGCTGTCCTGAACTCACTTTGTAGTCCAGGTTGGCCTTGAACTCACAGAGATCTGCCTGCCTCTGCCTCCTGAATGCTGGGATTAAAGGCGTGCGCTACCACGCCCAGCTGTCCTACAGTGTTTTTTGACCAGGTTGGTACCCAAACACATTCTGTGCTCATTCCAAACTGTCCCAAGGGATGGTGCTCCTTTATCTTCCTGGTCCCCATTTCCCTGGGCGATGATGGGAATATTCCAGAGCTGTGCTGTCTGCCCTGTTGCCTACCAGTATGAAACATGTGTAGCTAAGCAGCCATGTGTGGCTCATAGCTGGGCAGCCCCACAGGAGTCACTTGAGATGGGGCTCCTGCCATTCCTGTTTGGCTGTATTTGCACAGCTGGTCCTTCGACAAGATATGAATGTACCTGCTGAGCACCCTCACCTGGCCCTGTGAGAATGTGTGGAATGTCATCCTTTAGCAATGGTGACATTTGCCATCTGAACTCTGGGTCCCTGCATCCCAAGGATCCTCTTACAATGCAGACTGACATGATGATACATGCCTGTGATGCCGGGCAGCAAGATCAAAAAGAAGTTCAAGTCCAGCCTGGGCTATGTAGCTAATTCTCACCAAAGGCAAATCAAAAACATAAGGATAATTGTCCCACAACATTTGGCAGACTATAATCCCATGATCTCTGCTTACCAGAAAGCAGAGAAGGAGGTGATTCTTCCCCACTAGCAAGTATCCATTAATCTCCCAGGTTCTACAGAGATACTTACTGGGTGTCCCTGATTTAATTTAGTTCCCACACTGTCCTATGGGCTGAGTGCTCTGTCCCAATCCAGTGGCAACTCCAGGTGGCTTTCCTGTCCTTCTGACTCACAGGCTGTAAATCTGGTTTCTCATGACTCCTTCTTAGGTTTAACTCTTTCCATGGGGAGGCACCAATGACTTGGGAATAAATTTGTGTCACTGGTTCACTCTCAGGGACCTTCCAGGCCAGGGCATAGCTTAGAAGAGAGACAGGGAAAGGGGTTCCGACTCTGAGCACCTCTTTGGTTTGGAGACTTTGCTACCTACACAGGACTGATTATATCACAGCCATGAGTGACAAAACATCCTGGAGCCACAGTGCTCTCTGGGAGTGGGCTGGAAGTCCAAGCCTCTCACCCTCCTTTGCTTTTCTCCAGTGACCTACCTCATGTTGAAGCTAGCCAGTAGCTTCCAGCCATCATTCCACTTTTTAGCCCCACCAATCCAAGATTTCAAAGAAACAGAATATATATATATATATATATATATATATATATATATATATATATATATATATAT